TTTTTCTTTTTCTTGTTAAGGAAAAATCACACAAGAAATGTGTGTATTCATTCATTAAATTTAATGGGTGAAAATCAAACAAAAACCTGCCACAAATTCCTGCTATCATTGCGGACAAAGCTATCTTTGGGGATCAGGATTACAGCCCATCGATTGGCCTGACCATCACACATACTCCTATATATATATATATATGGCCAAGAAGTAGGAAAAAAAAGAATGATAAAAGGAGGGGGAAGAGGGGACCTGAAAAAGTGGCGACTGCTAAAGTTGTTGCAATTGAATTTGCATAAATTGTGGCCGGAGTCGAGTTCCTTCTGGTTTACTGGCTTGCTCTGCGGTTATGCAAATGCCCCTTGTGTGCATTTGAAAATGCATAAGATTTATCCAAAGATTGCTGTCCATTAATTCAACTTGGATTTACTTTTAGCATATTTTACTACATGCAGCACAGAGAGAGAGTTCGATTCGGACTCCGATTCGAATACGCAAATACTTCTTTTTCTTTGGATTTTTGTATTTTTGTATTTTTGCACCACCACCACCACCACCATCGCCATCCTCAACTTCTGGCCATAAATTTGCATTTACCCACAAAATGTTTTGAACTATGGGCTTTTGAATTTGAGGGGGCCTTCGGTTTACCTTGCATCTCGATTTATTTGCGGCTGAATTTATTCAAATCGCCAGCCGAGCGAGTGTATCGGACAGATCTAGTAAGTTTATTCAGTCATATTGATTAGTTTTTGATTGCTGGCATTTAGATCAAGAGATGACCTTTTCGAGTCACCACCATTTGGGTTGCTAATTCTGACTGCACTTAGCTAGTCCCTCCAGGAAAATAAAAATGTCAAATGCCAGCCAATGCTTATTGTTCTCACTGTAACCACTTTAAAGTGAATTCTTTAAAGCCACATCTTCTTGGGGCTGTAAAATGAAAACAATTTGGTAGCAAAATGCCTTTCCTGCGGTTTTCACTTGTAAATTTCTATTAGATTTGTGTCGAGACAAAAGGAATTCTCCCCTTCATCGAAAACTAGGCCAAGAAGAAATTCAGTGAAATTTTGGTTAAAAAACCCAAAAGACACACACTAACTGAATGAAATTCGTTTGGGGCCAAAAATGCGATGGCCTGGCCGCAAAAACCTCTGATGGACACAATTTGTGTGTTAGTTTGCCGCCTCAGCAAAACACACATGAAAATTTAAATCCATTAACTGGTCAGAATGTTATACACAATTTATGAGGCGCATTGACAGCAGGACCGGACCGGAGGTAGGTCCTTGTTTTCCATATATATATATATATATATATATTGAGGTATTTTTGAGGATTTAATGGCAACCGCATCCAGGCATCCAGCCAGTCCCAAACTTTAGGCTTGTTTGAATAAACAGGACACACTGTTGGCAATAAAACCAGCACAACTAACCAATAAACCCGGAATATCTATGGTCAGGGGCCCTTGTTGTTTTTTCTTTATTTGGGCTGGTGAAAGCCGCAAACGCTTTAAATATTCGAATGGACAACACGAAAATAGTTTCGGACTTGGCTGACATTTTCGTTGGCTTTTTTTCCTTGGTCCAAAAGCCCGGGAATAAAGTTGTCACTTTACACACGATTGGGCGATGGCTCCCAGTTCCTGTTTCAAGGAGTTGGATGCCTTAAATATTTCATGATGTGAACTGTGGCAGTCAATTCGTTGAGGCTTTCCGCAGTCAAACATGACAGATTTTCCCCATACCCTCTAGATCTAGAAAATGCCTCGATTTAGTTAGAGTTTTTGGATTTTCTTTAAAGGGTATTTGGATAGTTTCTTCTAAGTTTTTCCTTCTCCTGGTTATTTTTCTTTTTAACAAAGTTTACAGGACTTGCGGGCTTCAATTTAGCTATTTTGTCAGCGAATTATGTACATTTCAGAGTAGATGAAATTGCTGTCCTACAGACGCTTGTTGAAAGGTTGAAAACTAATCGCAGGAAGTCAACAATAGAGTTATTGATTTTGAATGTGGGACACTTAACAGGGAGAAGTGGTTATGCAAGTCAAGTCAAACTGGAAATCAACCTTTTGTAAGCCCTAATTATGTAATTAATTTACTTTAATAGAAAAAGTATATAAAATAATAATCGTTTATTTCCAAGAATAAACCCTTCATGGAAATGTATTTGATTTCCTTACTTTTAACTGAAGTTTTCCAGTTCCTGGCTGCAGCTTACAAGGGAAACTTAATTAAGTTCAATTAAAGTGAGCAAAGTCGGGCGAAAACTTTAAGCCGCAGACACAGGCCCACCCACGAAAGTAAAGTTGCAAGGGAAATTAGCACCATTTGGCGTTACCACAATTTCCAAATCACTCAACCCTAACTAATGCGATTCACTTTCGTGTAAACTAGCGAGACGCAAACTTTTTAAACCCACAAATCAAGTGAAGAGAAAAACGAACGAAAGCCAATCTTGGCTATAAATTCGCATATACATATATATATATTTTTATGGCCCTCTTTTTTGGTTGAAACTCAATAGCAGATAAATGCAGCTCACGATTCTCAACAAGTGCAGAGCCAAAGCCGAAGCTAAGTGCAAATTTGTCACTCCACCCGGAAGTTGAGGTTGGGGAGGAGATTTCAATGGAGTGAGAGGGGTTAAAGGGTTGGTGATTGAGTGAGCGATGTGAGTCAGTTAGTCAGTGGAGTTAGTTCCCGCTTCAATCACTTCTACAACTCCAGCTGAATAAACTTTGATATTTTACGTAAACATTTTTCCACTGTAACCGAAATCTGTGGCATTTTTCAACATGAATCTGGTTCGGCTACATATTTTTGTATATTCATGTTTATGTTCTTGTCAATTTTACTAAAAAAGGGATGAAGAATCTTTTTGTTTATTTTGCATTCTGTTAAAAAGCTTAAAGTAAAGGTTTTCTGTGAAGGTTTTCTGTATATCAACTTTTATTATTCTTCAATTTTGCGCCTTTATCTTTAATATTCATATCACCAGCTTCTCATTTCCCTTGTTGTTTTCCCACTCCAAGGGAAATCTGCATCCTTGTCGTTCTTTGTTTTGCTTGTTTCATATTTAATCAATTAAAAAATGGGGTGTACGTGCAACTTTTTGGCCCCACCTTCTGGACTCCGTCATAAAGGAGGCGAGGAATGTCCTTCAAAACGAAGGATGAGTTTTCAGAGCTCCAAATGCACATGTGCAGTGCTCCCACCAGAGGACATTTCGTTCGAGTGGGGAATTTTAATTTCAAAATAATAATAAAAAGCAGTCGCACCCGCTCCAGCTCTTTGTCCCGCTCTGAAGCCTGACAATGTCATGAAATTGAAGCTATGTCTGCGTGTGTGCCAGCTTTTGTCTAATTGTCGCCGCACCACCCCCAAAAACCATCGCCCACCGTCATAATGCAGTCCCCAAGGTCTCGGAGTGCATGGAAAAATGTTCGCATATGTTGCGCCTTTTTTCAGTGGAGTCACAGAGAGAAATTCTGTGTGTGGGTCTGGGGCTGGAGGATTTTCCAAAGTGAGGGCATTTTCTGGGGGTTGTGGATTTTGCGTGCGGGTTTGAGTGCGTGTCTGTGTGTTGGCAAACAAATTACAGCTGCTGTTTTCAAATCATTTGGGGCCATAATTTAGGTGTGTGTCCGTTTCCTTCTTTGCGTGTTTTTGCCCTTCGAATGGTCAGCGCTTGTTGGTTTTCCCCCCTGGAAAAATAAGGGGGAAGAAGTCTGGGAGCGGCATGCTGGAAAAGCGTTAAATGGTTTGGGTGCGTCGGCTGTCAAATTTAATTCGAGCTGCGAATTTCTAATGGAAAAGGTTGCAGTGGCTGGAAAATTAAGAACAAACTTACTTGCTTAGCAAATGTGGGGAAAAGGATCTTGACTGACTTTTCAAAGAGATATTTAGTATATACACAGATAAGATTCATATTTTTCTCGCACTTAAAGCTAACTAAAGCCCATAGTTTATACTAACATAATCCGGTGCTTAGTGCCAACAAATCCCGACTGTTTAAGGAGGTTCCCATTGTTTATTTGGGTGTCTCTGCCTATTGGCAATAACAATAATATCCAGCAAGTGGAAAATGGTGGCGCATAAATCAAATTCGCGACAGAGGCAGAAAATTCAGCTTCTGCAGTTGCCACCTTTGTGTGTACACATACACACACAGACTTACATACATCGCCCATCAGGTAACAACAACGGTAACAACGGCAAATGTGTAGATGGAAAATTTTCGCTTTTCGTGTTTGGCATTTCAATTGGAAAATGTGCGCACATTTGCAATGAAATTCAGCCAACAAACTCCGAATTTATGCTATCATTTTTTTGTTTTATGTGCGTATTGCAGATGGGGGCGTGGCACACACACACCACCGCCCACAACAATCATTTTAAGTGTTTGCTTTTGTTTTTGGCTCTGTGTGGTGAGGAAAAAAATGCATTAACATTAATGCCGCCGCTCGGTTTTTTTCTCCTTGCTCTTTTTTCATTACACAAAATTATTTAATTTCCTGCAGGCGGCACGAAATTTGATGAGCAACTGACAGGCTTTCCACCCGCTAGAATCTAGGGAGTGGGTGGAGGTATGTGTCTGCCGCCGACGATGATGATGATGATGATGATGTCCTGTGAAAAGTTTACGATGCTGCTAACCATTCCATCCTCCTGCCCTTCCATTCCCTTCTTTTTTTCGCTCCTCGGAATTTTCTTCTCGCTTTGATGCGGAAATTCCCGTAACTTTTTTCCGACGTTTATTTAACGTTTATCGGGGCCAAGCTAATGACTTATGTGGGTCATTAGCATTCGGAGCTGGCGAAAGGTTAAAGCTTTGCATCGAATCTTAAGGAACTTTAAAAATCGTAAGAAATCTGCATAGGAAAACTAGTTTCTACTTTTAAATCTTCTGATAACTTATGATCATAAAAGTAAGGATCTTATTTTATCGCATTTTCTGAGAATATTCTTTATCAAAATGAAAGTCTTTTTATCCAAAATTGATAGATTTTCTTATTATTATTTGATTAGATTACATTTTACATTAGAAAGATCAGATTACATACTGAGAAAGATAGATTTGTGAGATAGAACTACACAAGAAATATTACCTTAAAATTCGAAACAAATTATTGAACAAAAGCCTCGTTCAGTGATTTGTTTTCGTTTTGTTTCAAAAGTTTGATTTCTGCTCAACAATTGTCTTGGCAGTCGTCGTCTTGACAGATATCGCAGAGGGAGGAGTTCGCCTGGTAGAACTGAGTGGCGTCGACGCCCTTCGAATAGTAGTCATAGACCCTGACGAAGGATGGCTTTAGCATGGCCACGGCATGGGCACGGGTGGCAGTCACGGTCAAGCACTTGGGATCATTGGGGGTCAGGCTCGAAAAGTAGACAATAATCAGAGTGTTTTCGTTCTTGGTCTCCACGAGGTTTACTCCATTAAACGATCGAATCTTGTCAAGATCTTCTTCATCGGGAACAAAGCCGGAGGGCAATTGGATCTCCATGAGTGCCATATTGGAGGGCTTTCCTTGGTCGGCTGCCTTGACGGGAGTGTATTCGGCGCACACTTCCAGATCCAGACGGTTTGCGGGGGAGTCCTTTACCGTAGCGATCACTTTAAAGCTAGGCTTTTCCTCCTGGGTTACGACGTTGTGGCGGAACGTAAGCTGGGCGTGTACGAAGCCCGTGCCTTTGGCCGAGACATAAACTTTCTTTGCGTTTTTCGGAAGCTCATATGTCTTCATAAGGCCGTCATTGTTGGGGTTTAGGCTAATGTGCTCTCTCTGCCCATTCTTCTCTGTCCCAAACGCAACATCTACCTGCCCGCTCTCTACTGGGGTATTCTCTGCGAACTTGGTAAGGGCTTGTAGACCGAGGATAGTATCCTGAGTGGAGCCAAAGCCCCCGTTACTGTTACGTTGGCTATCCAACCACTGGACAATTTTCAAGGGATTCTCCAATAATCCGTTCTCCAGCATGGCAAGCAGGACATAAGAGGTTGTCTCGACGTCCGCGTAACTGACCGAGTCAGGTACATTGGACCACCACTTGAGGTCGTCCTTATGCCTGGCTGCGGCATCCAGTCGTTTCAAAACTTCTGTGGCCTTGGGGTCTTTGGCCATGGCCAGTGCAAGAGCGGAGATGGCCAGAGAATAGATACTATTTGAGCTATCCACCTGGTTGGCCACATATCGAATTCCCCTATTAATAACATTCTGATACTGTGGCGAATATTCCTAAAATGAAATCGAAAAACTTCGAGTCAACAGATGTACCAATTATCGCCACTTGGTATAGACTTACCGTGTTCTCCAAGAAGGTAATCAGTACGTAGGAGGTGAAAGCCAAAGGATCTCCAAGGTGACTTTGATATACGCCATTCACTTTGAAATCCCCGTTTGGTTGCTGTTTAGATGCGAGGTAATTCAGTCCATCACTCAGTACCTGATCATCAATATAAGTGAATGGCTTAGCCATGTGGAAGTAGCGGATCACATAGGCGGTAAGCCATGTACTTTTCATACTATAAGTACTACTAGGCCTAAACATACTAAAAGCGCCGTCCGGGTGTTTGTAATTCAGCTCGTTCTGGTAACCTGCTGCCAAATATTCCTTGGCCCGGTTCTCGATATCGGGGAAGCTTTGGCCGGTCGCTTTCAGGTAAAGAAGCACCATGACGTCGGGCACGAAGTTGATCATAGTCTGCTCGCCGCAGCCGGAGGGCAATTTAATCAAATCGCCCAGGTTACTCAGCATGGGTGCATGGATTCCCTCACCCATTGAGATCACAGTCTGATCAGAGCCCGGCACAGTCCCTGATGGATGATTAACAAAAATCTCCCTTTCCGGTTCACCCATATTCACAGATCGACGATTCCTATTATTCACTTTCAACAGAATCGCTTTGTTTATGTACTTGGTCACACCCTCGGCCTCCACTCTTAGCCTTTCGTGAATGGTGTCCTGGGCAAACCGACAGTTGGCGGTGATTTTCAGGGTGATCAGTCCAAGTTTCTTCGGACGAATCATGAATGAAAGAGTCCTTCCGTTTTCGGCGGGTATCCAAACTCTCTTTGAGCGGACTTGGAGGTGCTGCAAATCGTTCGCCTCCTTGTCATTGATGACCTCGGAAAAGTCGTACTCCTGGTCCGAGTTATCCATTGATACCAGAGCCTGGACAGGATGCTTCATGTAGTTGAACACCGTCACAGGTATGGCTATGATTTCATCTCGTTTCACCGAGTACGGCAGATTGGTGGAAATGAAGAACGGCCGGAAGACAGTTATTCCTGACGGGTACTTGGTCATGGCAAAGCCGGAAGTTGGGTTAAGGGAAAACCCAGTGATTACCCAAGAGGTAATCGTATCGGGAATCTTCCTTCTCAACATAACGCTTCCATGGCTGACGCTACAGGAAATATCATTGAAATAAAACTTTGGTTTAACTCTTTAAAAACCACGAAGAACTTACTCGGTGATGTTCGTAAAAAGCCAGGTTTCTGGGAACTCCTGTCGAATTTGCTGAGCAGAGTGCGAATGGTCATCTGAGGTAAAAGACTTAAAGCTATCCAATTTTTTACCTGGGCATAATAATTAGAAAATAATATTATGGATCTTTCAAAAGAAGCGAGAATTATCTTACCCAATTTCATAGTTTCGTCTTTACTGCGAGAACGATAGGCAAGACCACAACTATTGACGTCGTCACTATTGGTATCTGGAAGTAAAATATTTTAGTAAGATTGATTAACTTGCATGCAATCTACTTCAACTCACCCCAGATTCTTCCGTAACTTATATTGGCATTAGTTAGGGTCACCAGATCGTTTGATAAGTGCTTGCTCAGATCGTTGAATATGTCATCCCTGTTGAGGTCATTGCCCGACCTGAGGAGCAGAACCTTCTGGTCGACTGCCAAGAGACCTACGAAGGAATTAGGATCGGTCCTTACCGATAGGTTAACCACGTCTCCGGGCTCCGCTTCTTCCGGAAGAGTGATTTGGATCTGAAATGAAATCAAAACCTTTATAAACAAACTCGGACCGAATTTTAGTTTGGGCTTACCGAGTTGCCGAAGTCCTTCTCGAATTCGATAGTTTGCTGGTCGAAAAACATTATGTCATTCGCAGCGTGGTATACAAAAATAGTGGCCTCGGGCACCATTTCGAAGGTGGACCTGAACTTCATACTTTTGGTTTGCACTCCCTGAGACATTTGAACGTGTTCATTTAAGATGATGTTTCCGCGGGCTACAACCGTGATTGTGAAGTACGAAAGATTGGCTTTGGATACTACCTTTACGTCAACATTCTGGCCCAGCTTGTGTCTGTATGGAATAATTATGATTACCAGGATTGCATTATGACAATAATACTCACTTTTTACTACTGATCTCGATGCTAAGGGTCTTTTCAACTCTCAATATTGTATGACTTAAGCTGCCTGCTCCTTCGAATGTGGCTTTCACCTGGCATTTTCCGCAATTATTGTCGGCGAACATCATTCTGCCAATGGCTCCACTGTTCGCCAGGGGACTCTCCTCTTTTTGACTTATCCCTCCGCAGATGAACTCGAAGTTAACACTCTTTTGTAAGTTGTTGACCGGTGATCCGTCCACATTTGTCACTACAACGGGAAAGTCCAGGTACACTCCCGCCCTGTAGCTCTGTGGCCAATTGACGGCCACCAGAATGTAGGGATTTTGGTGAAGGGTCACATAGGCCGAGCCACTGTGCTTGAGATCAGTTAGCTCCTCGGTGACGGAGGCCACTATATTCAGAGGGGATTGGTCGTCGGCCTTGTAAGGGAGTTCCACACTGACCTTGCCATCGATATCTACTGTCTTCTCTATCCGACCGCCATTAATCGAGACGGTAGCCTTGCCCTTGACCGGCTTGCCGAATGTATACTTAGCCAAAATTGTTGCCGTTATCTGCCCATTGGTGGCTACCACATCCTTTTTTGTGTCGATCCACACCTTGAACTTCGGCAACACGTACTTGTCCACCTTGATGATCTTGGTCTCCTTGACCGGGCTTTCCCCCTGAACGGAAACTGTGATCGTCCAGTTTCCCAGAACTGGCCGTTCGGACAGAGGGAGCTCTGCGGAGAAAATTCCTTTGATTGGCTGAACGTGCGTCCACTGTTTGATCCGGTTCTTATCTCCGTCGTGAATCTCAATCAGAATGGGATTGTCGATCCTGGCAGGTCGGGTGAACCTGTTTAGGAAGAGGACTCTGAATTGCAGGAGATCTTCTGGCTTGTAGGTGGCCTTGTCCGTCTGGATGTAGATGGAGGGTTTATCCTCGTGGAATAAGAGTTTGGAGGATTTCTTATATGCAATCCCCTCAAGACCCTCAACCGTGAGCTGGTAATCACCGCTTCTCAGTTTCGGGACATCGAAAGAAAGCTTCTTCGTGGACATGGGCTGAAGATAGACCTCCTCGAACCTGCTAAACGAGGGTCCATTCAGGCTGACCCTAATCCGACTTGGTCCATTTGCCTCGTACACGGTAACAGCAGCACTATAGTAGGAATAGGGATGTATAGTGCTGGGTCCGACAACCGAAAAAATACTGCAAAATAAAATTGAAATTATAAATTAGTAAAAAATTACAGAAAATATAAATAAATAAAATATTTAATTTATACCGCAAAGAACAAAATAAGATTTCTTTCAACTCACCCGTTTGCATTTATTATAAAAATGCATTGAAACAGAACTGCCCCGAGACAGAGCCACGTCATCTTGGATTCTTTTCCGATCAGAGCTAGTCTTGAGTCCGAAGCTGAACCGTCCGCGCGAACAATTATTCTCGAACTCAGTTTTTAGCAGAGCGGGCACGTATATATACGTTATGTATAGTAGTTCTATATATTATATAAATAATCTAAAAATGATTATGCCTTTCTGCTTCTTCAGAATTCTTCTTCTTATGTTGCTTTTTACTGTTTTACTTAGTCTGTATATGAAACGGAAATACTAAAATTTGATTACCCAGTATATGCATTGTGTTTATAAATGCTCTTATCTATCGAAATATTTGAATGCTCGGTTTTCCCAGAACGAACATTAAAAGCGGCAGCATTCGGCGCGTCAAAGTCAATAACCCCAACTAGTAGCACTTTTAGTAGCCCCACATTTGGTTTTAACGCAGTTTGATATGATATATAAAATTGCATTTATGAGCAATCCTGTCAACGCCAAGAGAAATATGAAAAGACAGCATCCTTAGACCTCTTCACGGAGTGAAGTGGGGCTGATTTTCTTTAAGCATGTGGGGGAAGTAATGGGGTAATTTTGCCAGAAGCGGCAAAAATACACTTCACACCTACGCAGTAAACATGACATGAAGTCGAAGCGGAAGTGGGGAGTGTGTGAGCAAGTGTGAGTCTCCTGTTCCAGCAGGAAATGCATTTGGCCAAACTTCACTTTTAGTGTCAACTTGCCACCTCCGGCTTACTCACAAATATTTGGCGCCATTAAAATTATTTTCTTACATTTTTCCCTGTTTTTTTTCTGGGTAAAATGAGAGGAGACAAGTTTTATGCATGTTTGTCGGCTGCCTAAGGGCGTGAGTTGTCTGAGCTGCAATCTAATTTCAGCATCCCTTCTTAGCTGGGTGATTTGTAGAATTTTTACAAATTTGCTGTTATCAATGAAATATTTCTCTATACGTCATCTTTTAAGAAATCTCAATACTGGGTATATACTGAAAGCGAAATGGAAAAGATTGCTTGTGCTTATAAATAACCCCTTCAAAGATTCCTAATTATTGATTAATGCGGGATTAATGTATCGTATTTCTTAGTACATTACAACAATATGATTCATGTTTAGCGAGTAATTGTAATAAATAATAACCAGACCACATCTAGAACTACAATTTTTTCCTGCCAACAGCTCATTAACAAACCCATGGATGGGGAAATCGAAGTCAAGGTGGGGAAATGCATCTTTCGGGAGCTGCTTAAAAGCCAATCCGAAAATAAGTGAGTTTCGGAGGCATTTAAAAGCCCAAAGTGTCAGTCTGTCAGTCAGCAAGGCACTTGTGCTCAATCAGCGGAAAGAAACTCTCAAGGAGAGAGGGAACTCTTGTGTGGGCGGGTGTCTAAGTTAAAAGGGGGTGTGAGGAAATCTCATAACTCAAACCATCTGAATAGCAGCAACAGCAGCAGCAGCAGCAGGGACCAATGAAGTGTCCCAAAGTATCTGTTAATAGGTTAGCCTGTCTTTCTGTAGGAATATTTATATATATACATATTATATATGTCTTTGGGAGCTTCACATTTATGGTCAGCATTAAAAAAATCTTCTTCCTATTTTATGGCTTTAAAGCGAAAACGGTAGACAAAATGCCAAAAGCTTGTTAGGAGGAAAAACGCTTTACTTCGCGAGGAAGCATTTACATTTTGACTGCTGCCCCTGAAAACAGTATCCGCATCAGCATCATACCACATCAATCAACGGCACTGGGCAGCATTAAAATGGTAATTTAAAACCGCGAGAGGTGCCTCAGGAAACTGACGGAGCAGACGTAGCAGGGAGCTGGAGACAGGGAGAACTCATCATGCCGACGTTTTAATGATTGGCCGCTGGCTCCTTTCCTTTGGTCCAGCGCTATGCAAATGTTAACCTCCAACTCCCAGTCCCAGTCCTACTCCCAGTCCCAGTCCCAATCGCATCCCAACCACCACCTCCCCAAGCTGACTCGTAAATCAAGGTTGCAACACCTAACCAACCGGAGGGAAAACGCCTCGGAGGCGGGGAAGCTGGCGAAAAGGTGGAAAAGCGAACCCGCTGCAGACGCAGTAAAGTGTTTTGAGAAATGTCACCCGTGGGGCGTTTTTGTCATTTCAAAAAGTGTTCAATCAACTGTCAGCATCCCGAATTCCCCGCCCACAGATTGAATATTCCTGGACAAAAACTTTGAAGCTTTAATGGTAGCCAAAAAGGTACCGCAGTTAAAGGAGTTAGAATTGATTCTTTAAAAATTGAATGAGGTTTAGTACCCATTTCTAACTCACACTATTCAGGATTAAAAGCTATTTAAAGACCTTCTTATCTGATTAAACTACTTAGTCGTAATTCCAGCATTGCTCATTGCATTTCCTTCCATTTAGTACCCATTTCTCCACCTAATGCCCAGCTTTCATCGGGGCAATTAGCCATTCATAACTCATATACAACAAACCAGCCAGCCACTTGAGGGGCATTTAAAATCCGCTTAGCATCAGCTTTGGCCAAACGAAATCACAGCAAATGACCCACAAATGAAGCTGAAAATACGAGCTCTGTGTACTTAGAGTTGCTCCACCTCCTCCTCCTCCTGCTTGCCCGGCAAGTACATTCCACCCACGCCGAGTGTTAAGTTTCCCATGTTGAAAGACCAGCAGCAGGGGATTCTTTCTCAAGTGTCTCATATGACCGAGGGGATCCCGGTCTCTGAACCAGCGACCAGACCTCCAACCCGAACCAGTTAGCTGCCACATTGAACTGAACTTTGAATTAAGTTGAGCGGCTTCTGTCATAAGAAACACTTACTTACCGGGGTAACCAAATACATCAACGAGTTTCTCATATTACACAGGAAAATATTTGATTTATTGAGTGTTGTTGCTTTTTGACTCGTCTCATATATACATATCACTTCTATCTATAAACTAATTGGAAATATATATTTCCTTTCTGCCTCAAATAAGTCTGGGAAAATGGGAGCTGACCGAAACTTAGAGACAGAAAGTTAACTGGCTTTGGGAGTTGATCCACGTTCCCCAAACAATTTCTGGCTTAAGCAATTATTTGTCTAAAATAATTGCCAATTGGTCGCTGTAAAAGAATGGCCGAAAAAAGACAATGCAGACGAGACATCAAACAATCAAAGAGCTGGGGAATCCATTCTGTCTGCCGACGACTTTGACTTTTCGGTGGAAGGAGATTTGACAATTGTTCGCGGTGCTTGTTAGTTGTCCAGCGTTTTCCGTTTCCGGTTCTATTTCTCTTCTATGACTTCAACTTTTCAACTGCCACACGGAATGGAAGTGTAACTATAGCCAACAGGGATACGGTGTCTGGCATTGAAATGAAAACAAAGCCGCAATGCCAATGCCAAAGTCAAAGTCAAAGCAAGGCGAGAAATTGGCGAAAAAGCTTTTGGGTGAGTAAAAGGGGCCAAAAGGAGTGAATTGGCAACTGGCAAATGGTGAAAAGGGATTTTAACACGGGATCCTAGCCATCATTGGTATTTTATTAATAGTTAAAAGGATGGCTGGCGGCCCTTGGATCAAAATTTCTGCTGCGTGGCTGCTTTTGGCATTCATTTCGTAACCCCAGACGCCTTTTGTCTGGCCCGAAACAATAACAACAAAGCAATGAAATCGAAAAACGTGCTCTTACTCCTCTCTCCCCCTCTCTGTGCCCTCCGGAATATAAAAAAGGGAATTTTTATTTGCCGTCTATCGGCATTATTGACTTTGGGCCCTCACCGTCAGCTGTGACCAGCAGGAAAAATAGGAAAAGAAATGGGATTCGGCAGAAGGAGCAGCTCCATCGTCTGCGGTTTGCTTGGCAAAATAGAAGGTTACATACAAAAAATAATATTTCTAGCCTTTTTCACCATTTGTGTTTGCATTTCAACTTTCGTTTTCAATTTACGGGGATTTCTTGCTGGCCTTTCAGACTTCTTCCCATAAACAGGGTGTAAAATGCACCTGAACTGCAGACAATGGGGATTTCTTTTTCGTAACAAATGAAAGTGGAAGTAATATGGGAAGAGATCATGAATACAGGAAATAAAAGGGCAAGGTTAAAAAATGACTTTGTGGTTAATAAAAAGCTTGAACTGACGTTTTCTTATCAGCGTTGGTAGTGAGTCATTCACAAAGCAGAGCAATAAAAACTGATTTTGTAGGAAATCATGCTTATCAAAATAATGTTGGCCATGACCCAGCTCTTAGCAGGGGACCCTGACACTTAAATCAAAACTAAAAAACATTGAGCTGCTGAAAAGAAAATACTCAAGATAAGCCAGGAATGTGACTTCCTATATTAAAATGATCTCCGGCTGTTACATTTTCATTAAAATTCATAGCTTGGGGTATTTTTGTTTCTGGAATTATTTAACCAAGTTACCCCTTAAGTATCAGCCAACATCTCCTAAGTGGTTGCACTTTCAATTGCCGCTCATTACAAGGACTTATGTAATTAGAATAAATGATGATTAAAATCATTAAAAAGTTTCGCTCAGGCGCATAAAATTCCATCATAATTCGATTGCCCCCGATGAGCTTTAATCAAATTGCCAAGAGAATTCGGCCGACATCGTCTGTCAGTCGTTGGTAAGTCAGTCAAGGGCCACAGAGCTCATCGATTACATCTCATCAGACAGTGAAAGAGATGGGTGGCTGTGCGGAGAAGAGGGGGAAGATGCGGATGTGGCCGTGGTTGTCGGCTTAGTGTTTTGGAGTGTGGCAAATAAATTGACATTTAGCTGGGCGTGTAACAAGATCAAGTATACGCAACGTCGCCCGCCGTAACTTTGATTTGGCAGCAAAGCGAGAATATGCTTCTCATTAATGTTGCATGGCCCTCGGTTGGCCCATCGAGACCCATTGGCAAACAGTCAGTCTTGTCCCTAACATTTTCCAAAACGGAAACCCAACTGACAGCCGAGCAAGCCAAGTTTTTTCCCCCAACTTGACAAGAGGTCATACGTAGTACGTCATGTTGCTTGCTGCTTAGTGCAAAAAGTGTTGCAAGTGTACGGCAACACAAGGAAATCTATAACATGCCACCTGACATTTTGATGTGGCGATTAGTTCGTGTCCTGATTGTGTCCTCTTTGCTGTGGTTGTTCTCCCAAGGCGCTTTACTTCGGCCAAAGTTTGTTCTGAAAGGGGAAACCAGGGATGGAGAAAGTACTTTAAAGTATACTTTAAGGACATAAGAAGTTTCAAAAAAGAAATTAGCAATGTTTAGCAATGCTCTAGAGCGTTTAAGTAGTTATAGAAGTAAGTGTAGAATTTTTGTAAGATTTCTTAGTTATTAAACTAAATTTTAACTTAAAAGTTGGTTCTTCCGCCCTGAAAAACCATGCATGCGTGCAATTTTAAGACTCTTCGTACTCCCGCATTCTCGTTGATGTGCAACAGCGTGTTGCATGTGCAACAGCAACTTCATGTCCGATCTGACTTAAGTTAAGTTGTTAGCCCTGCTGACAGTGATGAAAACTTTGCTGACAGGCCGAAAGAAAGTTGCCAGCAAAATTGGTTACTTAACGGGCAAAGAGATGCGGGCTTGAAAAGCCACGACTGAGTGGGCAATCGATAAAGTTATCGTTTATCAGGCATAACTTTACCTTAGAAGGCAGGGACTTTCATGCAACTCTTTACCATTTTTTGCCTCAGACAAGTCTGAGTTTTTCACATGCCCCACAACTTTTGCCACATTATCTGACCTAGATTTTCTCGTGTTTCCCTTTCAGAACGATGTTATAATTGCCATCAGGCAACCATCAGCCAGACAGACTCCCACTGGAGGACACTTCATCTACAGCCAGGTGAGTTCCAATTACCCACTCCCCCATGCACTGCGGAAATGCCATATAAAACCAATTTTGTGGCCCTAGCACCTGTTGAAGTTTTGCCATTGCCTGGGAGCAGATTTAAAGAACTTTCCATCACATTTCCTGACCAGAAACTCGCTGGAAGGGGAGTCTTTAATGCAACACGGAAATGCCAGAACGGAGCTCTGGAATTTGCCAAAAGCTCTCTTCATTTCCGCAAAAAATGCAAGGCGAGGGAGGATGTGGTGGTGGCAGTAAGGTAAATAGGGAAATGGCTAAGGGACCCAAGTAAAAGCAAAAGTAAAAGTCCAAGCCGAAAAACGCTTTAAGGGAAAAACTCCAGTCAACAGTTTGTTGCCACTGCCCTGCTTTTTCTCTCATTCTAGTTCTTTGGGAAAAGTTTTGACAAAAATTTAATTAAATCCATGTCAAAGTCAGGACATGAAGAGGAAAAAGTAACGCGAGGAGAAAGTGCGTTCCTCAATGTCAAAAGGGCCACGAAAAGCAACAAGTCTCCGAATGATAGACTCTGTTTTCTAACAACTCAAAACTTGGCAGAAATAAGCCGATTTGTGTGAGTCAAAACCTTTCCTAAAGGAAAGTTAAGTCCGCATTCGGTAAATATTACTCCATAAAATATATATGCCCGTTGCCCTGGCAATGTTACTGGTTACTGGTCGCTTTGACTAAATAAATTTAAATTGAATTTACGTGCTTCCTTTGGCATTCTGTGGCAGTCGAGGGAATCACATACGAGGCATCATGAATAAATAAATTTTATGCGTAAAAATAATTCAATTATAGGCACCTCTCCTCACGCACACATGTGCGTTTGGCTTTCCCGACTTTCCCTTCTGGCCATTTCAAGGGAGCCTCTTTGTGGCTACACTCGGCCTGTTATAAATAAATTGCTTGAACATTTTCGGGGGTCTGCAGGAGAGTCAGTTCATTGATTTTCATTGATTTTGCTTTTGATTTATATTTTTACCGAAAATAAGGAAAAAGGAAAGGCTGTGATGAAAATACTCCGCTATATTGGTGGGGCCAGAAGGTGGCCTTAAATCGATTTGCATGTTTTAGGGAAAGGTTAGCTGGGAAGTTGACTTTATAAACTGAATTTTGTGCTTAAATTAACATTCTTTCTGGTGTTCCATTTCCTGGCCATAAATCACTCAAGCTGCATCAACAGGTTGCCAGAGAGTCAACCCCATTTCTCAACTTGGCCAGCATTCAATTAACAATTGAGTTTATATGTGTAACAGCGGGAATGGCGGAAATGCGAGGAAAAGCGGTTGGGAAAGTCCCCCCGAAATCGATGAGCAGACATTCGAAAAGTCTCTCGATTCTGGCTGCCAGCTGCAATTAAAAGGCAATGAATTCAGATCGTTCACTCCCTTCCCTACGCCCATTCTGTTCCAGAGAGGGGGCGTGGCCAGATGTCTGATGCCTCGGAAAGTGAGGAACACTTAAGCGAAATTGTACGCCAACAGCTGGCTTTAAGCGGTGTCAGTTTGAATTTTTCGGGGGTCTTTGGTGTAATTTATGGATTTAAATGGCATTCGTGAAAATGCAAAATGTTTTCCGTTTGTTTTTTATGTGATTTCCTTAATGAATTCGTTCTTTGTTTTTTATCAAAAAGTTCTGTGTATTTTTGACAAAAAGTATTGCCACAGAAGTGTGTTTCCCAAGCCTTGTGTTACTTTTGCCTAATAAAATTATGAGCATGTTAATTCTTTCCTCTCGTTTAGCTGCCAATTAATAAATTTTTCTAAAATTCCTTCTCCCTTTGTTTTCCACATTTTCTTTTCGTTCCCCACCCCCTGCCAGGCTGCCCTAGATGTGTCTGGCATATTAATGAACATTTGTTTTCTTTGCCTTCAAATTTCTTTTGGGGGGTGAAGAAAATTTATGTGCTCAGGTTAAATTCCTGGGATTCTCTTTTGTCGTATTTCGGTGTTTGTTAAGTTCTGTTCATTTGTTAAATTAATTTATGTTTGTTGACTGTGAAATTTTTACAACATATTTTGCGTGGGAGGGCGGTTGACACCCCCAACACCCCCAACTCACTTAACCCTTTTGATAAATGAGAAATTTGTACATTTGTGACAAGAACTTAATGACAACTGTTGAGCAAGTAATACGTTGGGAAAGCCAAATCACTGCTTATGAAATTAGGTTCAGACTAAAGGCTATCCATTAGAAATTTAATTTTATGCAACATTAAACTCGACATTTTCCACTAGTTATTTTCCCTTTTTCCTCCGAATGTGCTCGACCTGACCCGCACATTATCTGGAGAGAGCAACTTCACTACCGAGGCGCACATATGGCCCTCCATAAATACTCGCCCAGGACACACCCTCTCCCTGAACTTTGACCCAAATTTTGCAGCTCATTTGCATAGTCCCTCGCTTCGAGAGAAATATAAAAAAAAAGCGAATGTGAAGCACATAAAATAGGGACTCCCTTGAAGTGAATTAAATATGAAATCTACTCAAATATTTAACTGAACATGGAAAGTCATATGGCTGGCCCTTAACCCATTCGTGCCCATTGCTGTGCCAACCAGAAAAAAACCAACCCCCAAGTGGGCAATCCAACAAAACAAAGAAACTGCCCGAAACGGGACTCTAATTGTTATATGTTCATCCGCAAAGCCAACTATGACCGCATTAGGGGAGAGAAGGACCTGCCCCAAATCTAGATATATCCACTTTTTCGGTGTGTGTTATATCCCTAAAGTCCCGTTCCGAGTTGACTTTGGCAATTTTTTAATGTGCGCCACTGGTTCGGGTCTCCGGCGGCTCCCCAAAATGTATTTCACTTCATTTTTTATTTATGTGTGTATGTATGTGTGGCACCTCCATGTCCCCCACCCCACCAAGAGGGAAAAAAGGTTTGCGTGCCAAATTATTGTGCCAGTGGCCTAAAGTACTTTTTTGCCCCTTTTTTATTCCAACTGCCTCATTTATTTCCTGTTCTTTTTTCCGGCGAGTTTGGGGCAGCAGCCAAAACGCAAAGTGCGTTGTACTCGTTTCCTATACATGTATATATATATAATATATATGTTTCCAAAGCTGTCAAAAAATATCGATTTTTAGAATGTCCAACGAGGCGTATGGAAACTACCGATGAATGGGCGGAAAGGTTAAATATTTAAAGGTTTTTGGGTATAAGGGGGAATATTTCTGTACTTCTTAAAGTAATAAACTGTTTCTTCAGTTCAGAGTTAAATTTTCTTTTACCAAAAAAACATAATTGAAAAGGCAGCACATATTGCATGCTTTTCTCAGCCTTTTAGTTTAGATTTCTTACTTCAGTTTGTAATTATGAAAGCTTTGGCTGACAATAGCACCCCATTTCCTTAGAGCCTGCTTGATTTTTTCCTCCTATAGCTGCAGCCATAAAGATCTTTGGTCTTGAGTGGTGCAACCGCTGCTATATCATCTGAAGATTAAGCGGATGGCCACACACTCTGGAGCATAAACTTGCTTCTGCTTTTTGCCCCACTCCTTAGCTCCTAACTCAACTTTATCCGGGCCATAACACGGCACAATAAAAACGAGTTAAGGATCTCTAAACCATTTTAAACATTTAGTGCACCGCAGCGCCCGAAAAAAGCGTAGCTGCATATAAAGATAAAATATTTCATTTGCCACAGACCCTCTTCTCCTTTTTTCCCAGTTTTTATTTTATTTTTTCTATTTCTTTGCCAGCATTCAACGTTTGTAGACTTAATGCAATTGTCGCATTATTTCTCTTACTTCTCCGGCCACTTGGCGAAACACTCAACGAAATGATATATATACACCGACAGATATATATATATATTTTTAAATACCTCACTCGAGTGTTTTTCTTTTTTTGGGTGGCCGTTTTGTTGTATTTTGGTTTTTATTTTGCCGCATGGCGTCTCGTCTGGCGTCTGCCACGGCGTCTGCAAATTCAGTGAAAAAGGGGGAAAATAGGGGCAAATAGGGGACTACGGAGGGAGCTTTTTTCTCCTGCTCCTCCGGATGAAATAATGTTATGTGTGTGAGCCCGCTTGTTTGGGTACTGCCTCGGGTCTCTTGGTTATTAAGCCATTTCGTTTCCCACTTCTTGTTGCAAAATCAAGCAAAGTGTTGAAAAAAAAGGTTAAATTAAATTAAAATTCTTGGTCAGCGGAGAGGCATGGCACATGTGTGCAAAGTTTTTCATTTTCCCAGGCCAGCATTTGCAGTTTTAGTTGATTTATTTTCTATTTTTTTAAGCCTTTGTCTTAGTTGACTTTTTTTGGCTTGATGGAGTTTTGTTTAAGTTAAAGTGCTAAAGCTTGTCTGGGGAATTTAGTATATTTTTATTAAAGATTCTCAGAAATTGTTTTCTAGCTAAGTTTTCTTCAAGAACTTCAAGCTTTTCCTGCCCGAAAACACCATTTTGCCAGGACACATTTTGCATATATTTCTGTCGGTTTTTTGGCAGCCACTAATTGAACAAACTCCGACCACTCACTTTGACCGAAAAAACTAAACACGACAAAACTCTTATTTGCCTGCCAAGCGACCAACAATTGCATTAATTATGCGTGCAGTGAAAATGCTGACGGGAAAGCAAAGGAAAGCGTTGGAAAACTGTTGGCAGAGGAGGGGAAATCGAGGGGCCGTGAGATTTGAGCACTGCACTGTGGTGACAACAGCAATTCATCTTTGATGGCGAATGCCGGCAAGACTCATGAACACCCAGTCCCCGGAGACAATTTGTGCGTGCAAAATCTGGGAATTCATTTCTTTGTTTTGCCATCGCCGAGTGTTTGCCTATCCAATAAGTCTTTGGGGACGGCTGAAGGGGAGGAGACCAGGAGGAGCCCGGTCCCGTGAAGAGGAGCAAATGCTAATCTTGATAAAAATAAACGCACTCGGGCACGTTGCTACACGGGGAGAAACAAGTAGTCAAAGTTGAAGTTTATTTTAAATCAAAATCAAAATTAATTTCCAAAAAAATTTTCAAACCGAAGAGGAATTTAAAATTAAGAATTTCCTTAGCTCAAGTAAAACTAGAACTAAAAATAATTTTTAATACATTAAATATATTTATTTTGAAATATATTTAAATATTATATTTTCATTTTTAAATTCAGTAAGCAAAAACCATGAGTTTGTAATCTTCAATCTTTAATCCAACATTTTCTTCCTGTGTAGGGGGGGGGCGAGGATTGCTAAGACGGCAGCTCACGTTTTTCGTCGCATTTTCAATTTGCTTGGCATTTGCCTTTTCCCTGGCCATTGTCAGTCAGAGTGCCCCGCCCCCTCGACGCCCTTTTGCCCCACGACTAAGTGAATATTAATATTGACTTTGTGTGCTCTTCGCATAGTTCACAAAAGTTTTTCACCTTTGATTGCTCGACTGGCTACCCAGTTTCCCAGCTCTGCAGCTTCCCAGCTTTTCTGCTATATTTCCCTACTTGTTCGGCTTGCTGCTGCTGAACCCTGACCTCACCTCAAATCCACCCCAGAATCCCCCGCGACCCCTCGATTGCCATTTGTGGCCTTTAAAGTCAATGGCATGCTCAGCGGTTCTTTTCGTGGAAAATTTATGTGCAAACTTTATGCGTGGCGCACCGAGTCCTTCCTTTTTTCCTCTACTTGGGGAACTCTCGCTATTTCTATTATCAGCATTTGTTGCTCGCTCTGGCCGTGGATCCTCCTCCAGTTCTTCTTTTTCTGTGGCTCCTGGCTCCTCCTGCTGCCCGCCTTGACATTATTTTCTCATTTTTATGGCATTTAAGTTGAAATGAGGAACGTGGGATAAGGATACGACACCCTCGATTCGGGTGTCACTGCCTGAGAGTTTTCCCAGGAAACAAGCTTGCTCACCTGAACCAAAAATGAGGCAGAAAAAAAGTAGAACCAGACTCCAACAATGTCAATATAATTAAATGAAGCTTATAAAACTGAAGAGGCAGAGGCGGCATTCACCGGGTGGAGGTGGGAGGTGGCAAACTGTCTTGGGGAGCACATACAACTTTGTTGATTGGATTTTTGGTTTAGCTGCAGTCATAAACTGAATGAATGTGGTGGAAATGGAAAATAGCAAGGAAAATCCAGGTGCGAGGCAAGCCCAAATGAGATGAGATAGCCGACGGAGGCAAGTCTCTGATTATGGCTGGCTTAAAGCTGTAAGCCTTGAAAGGAAAATCCTTTTCAGGATAAAAATGTGATTAAAAATGTTTTTTATAAAGTTTTTTCTTTATAAGATACAACATAATCTTTTTGAGAGAAATCTATCTATAGAATCCTTGCAGATTTTTCATCTTGTGCTTCGACTTAAATTTTCTCTTAAAAATGAAGCAAGTCTTACCTCCTTTTCCTTTTCGCTTGCACTGTTCTTTGTTCTTTGTTCCCCGGCAGAGTTAGTTAGCCCTCATTTAATTAACCCATTAAAGGCAGCCCGCTTCGATCTCTTTGGGTTGCATTGAAAAGCGAGCATCCAAAGTGGAGGCCGCAACTTTCGACTTGTTGGCCTTTGACAGGCCCCAAAACCATTTCCAGCAATCAGCTGCCTGCCTGCCCCTCCTTGCCAGCCCCCAAAGTTTGCTTTCAAAATATTTGCCACAATGAAATCATGCCTGTTTGTGTGTGTGGAACCTACCCCCTTGCCCCTCTTCCACTTATAGGCCTCCGCCCCTGGCTCAAACAGTTCTTTTTTATATTTTTCGGGACGGGCAAAAGGAGGGGTCACAGGGGGTTCAAAGTTGAGTTCGCTTGGCGTGCGAAAGTTTATTAAAAACTTTGTGTGCTTTTTGCAAACAAACACAAACACACTCCCACTACCACACACACACACACACACCCAAACTCACACACAGATGTATTTTTTGCTAAAAGGAAGAAAAGAACAAGAGCAACTGCCATGTGAAACTTAATAATTCACACGGGAGTGAATTTTTCACAATTTTCACTTTTTCCACCGCGGAGGTTGGGGCTTTTTCGCCAATTTTATTGAAGCGTAAAATATGAACCAGAACCACAAACTGAATGAATGAAAGGATGGCTGTGGTAAGGAGAGTGCGGGGTTGGATTCACAGTGAGCTTTTAACTTTTGTTGACATTATGAAACCTCAAAAGTTTGCGTTTTGCTCTTTATTATTTGTTTTACAGCTAGTTAAGGCCATTGTTCACAGTGTATTTCTGTGCGTGTGTGTGTGTCTGTGGGTTGCAGGGTGGGCTTACTCAGTTACTTCTCTGTGTCTGTGCCTTTGTATGCAAATCACAGCCTGAAAGACACTCAGAAGTGGAATTGAATAGCTCACTAGCCTCTTTCCATATAATAATTTGTTAATTACTTAATTGAGTGTTGCCGCTGGGCAAATATGTAATTTAGGTCGATGATATGCGATTAGTAGTCGGTGTAAGAGGAATCTCGACTATGTGGGTTGCCTTAAGTAAGCCTTAATATTAATATCCCCTTTGAAGTAATCAGATTTTTCTCTTAAATATAGAAACTTAAGATTTAAGGCCAAAAGGGACCTTAGTACCACATTTTTGCTTAGTTTCACTTCAGCTGTATCTTTTCGTCGGCAGAACTCCATTACAATTTAAGTCAATTTTCATGAATATGCATTTAGAATTCTATTGCAAACGCCTTCTTACTTATTTTTGCTTCTGTGGGCTGTGGCTCATCATGGCCATAACTATTAGACGGTCCGACTGCATTATGCAAAACTTATAGACCATAAAATGCAGCCGACTGGGCCTAACCTAACGCCTCGCCCCCCTGGTCCTGTCTGGTAAGTCAGCAAGTTTCGAATGCAAAGTTGTCAGCACAAAAAAGTTAACGCCAGGAGACCTAACTCTCTCACTTTATTTCTCTGTCTGCGTCTCGACTTTTATGAAATATTAGCTACCAACTTATGCACATAAATCTTGCAATGTCGTACAGAGAGCGACTCTTCTGCCGCAAAAGTTTTTCGGGAATTTTCAAAAAAAAAAATAGAAAAATATATCAAAGAATAGAGAGTACCTCCCGAAAAAAAGGTGCGAAAAGAATAGAGCAGGCGTTGAGTCCTTTTAAATATCGCATTTCAAAACGCAAAAAGTATCTTCATTAAAATAAACTCTAATTGGCTCTGCAACTAAGTTTTTGTTCCTCCAAATGGGGGAAGAATTTTGTGGTAATTTCAGCCCAGTAAAAATATTCCAAAAGTTAGCAATAAAGGAGGTATCCTTTGTAAATTTTATGTTGATTTGATTTTTCCACCAGCACTTTGTTTTTATTAAAGAACCAGAATCTGCCAATGAAAACCCTTTTCTTTCATAGATACTGCATTGCTGTATTTATGATTTATTTACTTAATTAATGGACATAAATAACTTAATTAATTTCCGCAATCAAACGGTTGAGTTTTCACCAGATGTCATTATTTATTTAAGTAAATTTTTTCAGCTCTAGGGAGCTGGGATTTAATCTGTTTAAAAAGCTTAACCAATTTTCCTGTTCTTTCCCTTCTTTCCCTTCCAGAACCCCTCCTTCTGTTGCCAAGATGTCGGTCAACGAATCGTGGTAACATTTTCGCACCACAAACTGGTCAGCAAATAATTATCGAGCGCCCAAAAGCAGACTACACAAAATGGCTAACCACACAAGAGTAACCACAACGACAAGGAGTAGGCCATGGCTAAGTGGAGCCATCCCTGTGCTGCTCCTCCACCTACTGATTCTTGTGATCCTGCCTCTGGAATCCTCCGCCTTCTGCCCCTCGAAATGCCAGTGCTCGGGTGGCGAGGCCAACAGTCGAGCATTGTGCGTGGACGCCGCTCTGGAGGATGTGCCTATCCAACTAAATCCGGAAACGAAATACATCAACCTCACGGTGAATAGGATACGTAACTTGGAGTTCTCGCTGCCCTTCTACATGAAGCTGGAGATCCTGGATCTCTCACAGAATATCATTGAAACCCTGGGCTCCAAGAACTTTGAGTACCAATCTGAGCTGAGAACTTTGAACTTAAGCCGAAATCTGGTCAGTTCCCTGCACAAACATGCCTTCAAAGGTCTGACCAATCTGCTGCTCCTGGATCTCAGTTTCAATCGCATTGAGACAGTGCATCCCACCGCTCTCAGTGATCTGGCCTCCCTGGTGGAGCTCGATCTAACGAATAACAATATTGTCAGCTTGGAGGATAACTCCTTCAAGGGCATGAACACCCTGGAGGTTCTCGTGTTCCGGAATAATCGATTGCTCGACGTTCCAGCCAGTAATCTATGGCATCTACATGCCCTCAAGAGCCTGGATATGTCCTTGAATCTGGTCGAGTTTGTCCGAAATGACAGCTTCGAGGGCTTAAAGGAGCTCTTGGCCCTCAGCTTGCAGGGCAATGTGATGAGCGAGCTGGATCTGAGTGCCTTCGAGGGACTTATCTCCTTAAAACATCTCGATCTCTCCGATAACAATCTCACGGTGAGTGTGAACTTTACTGCCATTATTAAAAATACGTTTTCAAATAAATCCTCGAAAAAATCACTTTTCTAAACGAAAACTATGTGTGAACTTGCACTAACATTTTGCCACCATGGCCGCAGAGAACTAGTATTGCTGGTCTCATAAATTTAGACACTTTGCCAGGACTAAATCCTGTGAGCAACACTTTGCCAAAGCGGATTTCCCACACTCCCCTCTCCAACGAACGACCCCATCTAAGTTCGTCCTTCCTGGAGTTTAGCTGCATTTTGCATACGCAAAATTAATAACCATAACTCGTTGTTGCTGTCCGTTTGCACACACCCATGGCTAGGATGGATACCAAGGATACACGCACTCGGCATTCGAGGAGTCCTTTCCCTGCCGGCCATGTCCTTTCTGCTATTTATGCATGCAAACATGTCCGTGTTGCCTGATTTTTGCTGCCTCCTTCGCCGCAGTGGGTGCTGTTGCACACACTCTTTGCTTAGGCCCCTTGGCCATTTGGCTAGCGTTTCTCCGGGTTTTGTTAAATGCTACCACCATCCTGCCTCCTTCTCCTCCGTAGATATACATACACTGGTTGCCCCAGCAACTGAGCCAGCTTAAAGCTGCTTAGAACTTTACGACCAGACAATTGTGCAAAAATTGTGAACTTAAATTGAGCGAGGTCGAGATAAAGCTGAAGCTAAGATGTGAAATCGAAGAAGGAAGAAAAATGGATGTAGTCTTCGAGACTTTTCAAGAGTTTAAATTGCAAAGGAGTACTGTTTTAAGCTGAAAGGGAAAGATGGCTTAAAGTCTAAAGTTACGATAATGCGATGTGTTTAAAGAAAGCCAAGTCGAATAGTGAGACATCTAAATTGCTAATCGTAGGTTGAATTTATTACTTTAAGGCCAAAATTTAAAAGGATTCCTCAAAAATGTTTAAGTAAAAGAACTAAAATCAAGCTTTACTGAAAGTTTTACCTCCAAAACTATAAATAAAAACATTTTACTTACGATCTCCTATGTTGGCAATCAAAAGTCAACCATCCTGTGGCTTATTTCATGCCCATAGCCACGTCTTTAACTTGACCAAACCAAATCATTGGGGCACGCAGATGGTATGCCAGTCTGACGGAGGAGCACAACTTTCAGTTGAGTTGTGCAAATCCCCTGCTCAAAGGTGAAATTGCATGTCCTGGTCGGTATCCCACACTCAGAAAATGGAAATGGGAATGAAGCACAGTCTCCAGAAATGCGTTTTTATGTAATCACAGACAGGCTGTCTGTACACAGAGAAAAAAAATAGCTATGTCAGCAAAAGATAAGACATTCTGATGAGTTAATCATTTATGAGAGGTGATAGATTACAGTAAGAATGAATTAAAATTTATAATATTTTTCATATTGATTTTCTTTTTCAAGGAAAGACTTTTGTTTCTCTGCAGCTGCAACGGCAGTAACCTGTTTATGCAAACCGATGGATGCAATGCCTTGGAGTCCAGATCGCCTCCTTTTGGATCCATGTGCCTTGCATATATACTTTTGGTCGTTAGGAGGGGATAAAGTGTGCGTGTGTTTGTGTGTGTAGTTGTCCTGTCTGATGGCTAAAAAGGACTTTCTAAGCAGGTGCAGCAGCAACCGCGCGTAGTCAACGGCAACTGACGGTGCGGAGGAATTTATGGCGCTCGGAATCAGTTCGAAACTACTTAAAATACCTTTTGGCATTTTGTAGTTGAAATATGGTCGGTCGGTCTGTCTACCTAACCACCCACCCCCACTCAAATTTTCCCCTTAACCCCCCTTGTTCCCTTTCTTCCGACTTAACCTCCTGCTGCAAACCTGTCTTCCGGTATTTTCAAATGGCATTCTTTTTCCTATTGGACAGATTGTTGTTTTATTATGCACTGAGGATATATCCACCGTCAGACATTCTGCCCCATTTTGGCATGCGGCTAGTGCATGAAATTGTTGTCTGCATCTGCATAGTTTACCGAAGAAAATACAGAAGAAGGGTCGGAGGGCACTAGTGCAATGGCATAACGTCTGGAGTCTGGGAAGAACTCATGTGCCATGTAAAATGCAAAGGTTGAATATGATTTATGAAGTGCGTTGAGTTGCCAGCATAAACGGAGTGAGTTTCTACTAACAAGGCAATAAAGGTTTATATAGGTATTAGTATTAGGTGTAGGATTATATCATGTTGGGATATTTGTGGTTATTAAATTCAGGGCGCGGCAATAGCTGAAGGCTTTGAAAGCTTAGACATATTTAAAGTATTTTTATATTCAAAACACATTTTATTTGCTTGAACTTCAGAGCTAAAATATTTCTAGCAATTATTTCGCTCAATTTCCTATTCATAAAGTGAAAAAACTAAATTAATTGTAAAAGTAAATATTTTGCAAAATTGACTAAAATATGGCATATTTTCTGTGTTTCCCAAAATGCAATTCCATTTGCTTGGCCCATTCAGGTTTTCGCACAAATAAATGCATTTTTTTTTTTTCAATAACGCAGGTTGAAATAACTTATGGACAGTTTTACATTTTCATAATTCAACAAAAATATTTGTTGATGAATAGAGAGGCCATAGAGAGAGAGTGAGTGTCTGTTGTGGGTTGTGATTTTGCATTAAGTGCATAAATATTCACAAACATCATGGCACTCGGCTCGCAGGCTAAACAGAATAATTGCAAAAATATTCGAGAACAAATTCGCATAAAGTTTCAATAAAACCATATTTCGCATTTATTTTTGTTGCCCAGCATACATATATCCGAATTTATTTATCTTTGCTTTTTCCATTCAGTTCTGTTTGTATTTTGTTGCATAAATTTTGCGTACGGTTGCACAACTGCAGAACCGTTTTGCTGGAAAATTTTATGTTTTTCCGTCTGAGAACTTTCACAGGTGTGGGCTGTAAAAAAAAATGGAATATTCAGAAAAGTTCTTCCTTGTCCAGCGATTTATTTACTTATTTCCTTTGCAATTGCTTGGCAATTAGCTTTCATTTTCACATTTCCAATATTTCTTCTTATAGTTTTCCACTCTCAAGTAAGAGGAAATAGGAAATTGAATTGAAAAAATCAAAGTCAATATAATTTCACTTTCTTCTCTGGGCCTTCACCCAGCCCTTTCTCTTTCTACAATTTACACTAACGCCTTTTCCGCGCTGCTCTGCGTCCTGGAACTGCTGGTAGAAAGGGAACTGGCGAGGAAAAGCCTTTTAATTAGTCCAGCAGTCGACGGTTTTCCTTTGAGTGCAGTCCCAACATGAAAACACCCACACAGAGAAAGCAAAAACTAAAAAGAATAACTATGAGGGGGTTGCAGTATAAATAATGGGGACTAAAAAAGTGTTGCCATTTGTTTAAACAATTGCCCGGCATGGCCTACATTTCGTATGCGTAATGCCTTTTAATTTTCAACCATTTTCGCTGCCTTATGAGCTTTTGGCCAGCATTTGAATTCATTTGCCACACACTTGACTCTCTCTCTCTCTCTACCTTTCTGTCTGCCCTTTTCCCATTTTTCTTGGCTTTTCCCGCTTTCCCGGAGTTTTTCCCCCCTATCCAGAAGTTCATTACGTTATCGCGGAGTGTGTTCGTGTCCGGACGCCTGGCACGTAGCTTCCGACACGCTAAGGGAGAGAAAATTCGGGGAAAACAGGGAAAGCGGAGAAAGGAGGAGAAAGCAAGGGAGACGAACGATGTACAAAGGACGTAGAAGAAGGTGAACACAAGTGGCAGCCAAAATTACAGCCAAAAGCTTTTGGCCCTCCGCTTCCGCAAAACAAAAAAAAAACTGAAGGAAACCTCTTCTTTTATGCATGCCACACTCTCCTCGAAGCTGTCTCAGTAGTTGTAACAAATTCGTTGCAAGATTGATTTTATTGCCCCCTAAAAAGGGAAAAAACACCGACGAATTTGCTGGGCAGCGAGTGATGGACGAAAACGAACCTAAAAACACGGAAAAGGGGAAGTACATGACGCGCGTTTCCGTTTCCGCTGCAGTCGCTTAAGCAGCGCTTTTCTATTGATTTCCCTTTTACTGTTTAGTGTTCAATTTCTGTTAAGTTTTTTGGCCTGAAGGACAGCTCTTTCGAGCGACCGCAAAACGTTTTTAAAGTTGAGTGGCTAGCATTAATATTTGATTGGATCGAGCTGGGCTAAACTTTTCATTTTTGTTTTGAATGCTCTCTAAATAAAATGCTACTTGTTTGCTTTTTTATTGCAGATGGTGCCTACACAGCAGCTCTCGAAACTTTCGAACCTCACCTATTTGAACCTGGGTGGCAATCGGTTTTCCCAGCTGCCCGCCGTCGCCTTCCTCAACTTGTTCCATTTACGCGAATTGCATTTGAGCCGGCTGGACTATTTGCAGCGCATCGATTCAAGGTAAGTTCTTGGCCGAAACTTTTTCGAAAAACCCAACTCGGTGATCCCAAGTACAAGGGAAGTGGGTCAGATGAAAACGAAACCATTTTCGTTTTAGGACAAGCTAACAATAAACAAGACACCAACGTTAGAAGCTGTAAACCTGTCGAAAAGTTTAAGAACCTTTGAGAGTTAGCATCTAAGAACTCACATTGTAAAGTTGTGTCCCCTTGTATACAGATTAGCAAAGGGTCATTGTAGGAGGGATTTCCAGGCAAAGCAATCAAAACTTCAATTTGAATATGAGATCGGGTTGATATTTGATGTAATGTAATATTCATAAGTATATAAAAATGCGTAATGGGCGTCCCGCGTTAGACCAGCGACGTGCGTGATGGGAGAGCGATCAGCTGATCGCTCCCAGCTTCCAGCTTCCAGTTTTCAGCACACTGGGTCAAGCAGTAAACTTAACACATATTATTTGAAGCTGAAAGTCAGTTCTAAGCAAGATTATTATCTTTAGTTAGTTCTTAACTTTAAGTAATGAACACCTAAACCAAAAATCGTTCCATTAAAAACGAAAAGAAACGCTATAGTCGAGTGCCCCGTCTATAAGATACCCATACCCGTTACTGTTACCCGTTTACAAAATTTTAAAAAATCCATTTTGCTACTGGGAATGGACAAAGCGCCACCTTTTGTCAAAAAAGCATGTTTACTAACTGATGGTGACGTCACTATCCATGTGAGACCTTACAACCTACATTTCGTCAAAAATAGCTAATAAAGTTCAGATTTTTGAAAAATCTTTGGTAAATCGATAGGTATTGACAAAAAAAATGTTATACAAGTTTAAACAAAGACATTCATTATAATATTATGAACGCCAAAGTTTTCCGCGGTTTGTGGGCGTGGCCAGATGAAAACTCGCGTCGAGCTGCAGCAGCTTTTCTACAAAAAACGAAAACCGTCTTTTGTACTTGAGGGGCGTAAGAGTGGGTGTGGCGTTGCTTAGGGACCTCAAGAATTTGCCTGCTCAATCCCAACATTGTATCTCTCGAAGTTCCTGCGATCTCACCGTTCTTCCGGACAGACGGACATTGCTTAATCGACTTTGCTTTGATACTGATCAAGAATATATATACTTTTCGGAAAAGCTTTCTTCTACCTGTTACATACTTTTCACCGAATATTATATACCCTTTTTCTCTACGAGTAACGGGTATAAATATGGCAACCGTGAACCGTCAGATGTAGTACGTTACGTCATTAGCTTTCAACATTAATCTCCTTCGTAAAACTGTAAACATATTTCGTCTGCCTTGTGAAGAGATAAGCTTCTGGGCAAGTTCAATTTTATTTTAGTATTTCAGTTGATTTAGAAGTGTAACTGATTTAAAATCCAATCGAGGTTGTCTTGAATGCTTGTAACGACGATTACACCATCCTGAATGTGACTGATTAGGCCAGCAATTAGATATTTTTCAGCGCCCTTGAACACTAGATTGGTGCCAATGACAGCACCAGGTTTCTCATAGGGCTGCATATTTTGATTTATCGGGCGTCTCGATACATAACTGATTACGTTCCACGCGCTTATTGGTTCTAGAGAAGCAATCATTGATCCTCTTTAAAATGATATTTTGATAGCCCAGAAATTCAGAATTGGGACTATACAAGTAAACGCTCCTTAACTTTGAAGCACTAAGGTTAATACCCAAACAGATTGGCTTATAAAGATCTGGAAGGAAGAGATGGTATTAGGAACGATGCACAGTGGTCTTTACTAATGTTTCTTCCTTACAAGAAGGTTCCATCTTTCGAGCCAGCTTTATCACAGCAATATTGTTCCTTATTGATGGTGAATCTGTGAAACCGGGATGCTTTCTGAACCATTCTACATCATAGACTTTCAAGGAAATAGATTCCACTTTTCTGCTTGCAAATTTCGTCAGTACATAAAATCATTTTGTCCATGCATAAGAACTACTTACATTTCGGTAACTTTTGCGGGAATAGCACTGGCCACGGTCAGTACAAATTCTTGTCAGTTGAAGAAAATATTAGTTAGTGTTTTAAATAGTATAGTAGTATAGTATACAACTTACGGTTTGTAATTAGGGCTCCAGAAAAATTAGTCTGAAATAGTGCCATCTCCCAAAGGCGAACTAGAACGTTACTTCCCCAGTCACTGCCGCATTGCTCAGTCAGAAGACGCGGCTCAGACTCCAGCACGGTATTAGCTATCCATATTTTGTTCTCATTTACATCCGTATAGATACCATTGCCATCGCAGTCTTCATTACCAAAGCTTATTATCCCAAACTGAACCAACAATTGTCTTCCTCTGTATTTGAAATTCGACACCAGAGGACCACCAGAGTCGCCCCAGCAAGTGTCGCCAAGTGGGCTGCCTGCGCAAATTTGACCTATGCGGGTTCCATAGCAATCCTCTGCAGGCAGTCGCTCCAGATCGACGAATTTCAGATAACTAGTTGAATTTTGCTGCTTTGTATTGCCCCAGCCGTAAGCCAAAAATTTGTTGACCCCATCTGAGTTTACGTCCTCATCTAAGACGATGCAAATTGGCTTTATATTGGCTGTGAAAGAAACAAAGTTTAATTTTGAAATCAGGAACATTTTCAGAACATTAATGGCTTGATAGGTATACCATTGAAAGTCACTTCCTTATCCAGTTTTAGCAGAGCAATATCAGAGTAGGCTGAATCTTTAGAATTAAAACTGGGATGTAGTATAGATTCGACATTACGATGCTGCACGTACGGGCAAATCACTGGCGAGCAAAATCGGTAATTCGATCCCAAACGAACGGTTCTATGGCAGTTCAAAAATCAATCTAAATTTGATCTAGACAACGCCAGAGAAATACTTACATAATATAATCACGGATGCAGTGAGCTGCTGTTAGAACGTATTCTAAAATGAAATTAGTGTTAATAGTAATATCCATCTTTGATAAAATTCTCCTCACTCTTGTTAATTAGTGTTCCGCCGCATTGAAGTTCGGTACCATTGTACAGGCCTACCATAAACGGAGCATTCACAATTGCCCTTTGACCGCCAGTTATTCTAAAGTCTAAACTCGATGGCTCGAAACAGTCATCTTCCAAAAGCTGGGAATCTCCTCTATGGCAGAAAGCCAAAACGATAAGAACTAAAGAAACCAAGCGACACATCCTCTTCCTCGAATAAGTTCAGAAAGACTAAGTCGCCGGCTTTGATGGATTCGATTTAAAAGACGAGAGAAGAAGAGAACAGAAGTTAAAGTAATCGCGCTCAGGCACAAGCTACATAAAATGTATATGTATATGTAGGTGAGGCGACGTTTGGGCATCAGTTGGCAGCCCTACTAATATCGTATAGAGTCGTGTAACGAAGAGCCCGTTGAGAATGTCCAGCACTAAGAAGTAGAAGAGGTCAAGTCGTGAATCTGTTTTAAAATCGCGCCAAATTAGTTGTCAAGCCATAACCATATCTATTATAACTATTATTAAATAAAAGAAGATAACATTCAATTATCTTTCATACATATATAAAGAACAATCTCATGTGCTCTCAAGTTATCGGTTCGCGAGGATAGAGAGAGAAGAAAATGAAGAGAGGCCAGAGAACAAGAGAGAAAATAAAACCAAACCTGTGTAACCATAACATTGGAAACTGAATAAACTTAATTGATTATAATTAATTATAAAAAAAAAATATGTCCGCATGTTTTGAGTAATGTGTGAATTTGATATTCTTAGGTTATTGATTTATAGAGGAGATCACAAAACTCTTGACAGCAACTTTTGGTGGTGAACAACTAGACAATAAAGCAAGTGTGAACCCTCAGGTTATCTTTATATTTCTTATGTTTTCAACATCTATAAAAACATATATATATTCGACTGCCTAGTGAAGAGATAAGCTTCTGCGAAGAAGCAAGTTGAATTTCATTTTAAGAATTTCAGTTGATTTAGGAGTGGATCTGATTTAAAATCCAATCGAGGTGGTCTTGAATGCTTGTAACGACGATTACACCATCCTGAATGTGACTGATTAGGCCAGCAATTAGATATTTTTCAGCGCCCTTGAACACTTGATTGGTGCCAATGACAGCACCAGGTTTCTCATAGGGTGCATATTTTGATTGGTTGGGCATCTCGATGCAGAATTGATAGTCTCCTACGGAGCAGTCATTGATCCTTTTAAAACTACATTCCGACTGCCCAGGAAATCTGCATTGCGACTATAGAGATATGCGCTCCATGTCGTCGGAGGACTTAGCTTGATACCCAAACAGATTGGCTTATGAAGATCTGGAAGGGAGAGATGGTATTAGGAACGATGCACAGTGGTCTTTACTAATGTTTCTTCCTTACAAGAAGGTTCCATCTTTCGAGCCAGCTTTATCACAGCAATATTGTTCCTTATTGATGGTGAATCTGTGAAACCGGGATGCTTTCTGAACCATTCTACATCATAGACATTCAAGTAAATAGATTCCACTTTTCTGCTTGCAAATTTCGTCAGTACATAAAATCTTTTTCTCCATGCATAAGAACTACTTACATTTCGGTAACTTTTGCGGGAATAGCACTGGCCACGGTCAGTACAAATTCTTGTCAGTTGAAGAAAATATTAGTTAGTGTTTTAGCTGCGTGAAAAATAGTATACAACTTACGGTTTGTGATTAGGGCACCAGAAAAATTAGTCTGAAATAGTGCCATCTCCCAAAGGCGAACTAGAACGTTACTTCCCCAGTCACTGCCGCATTGCTCAGTCAGAAGACGCGGCTCAGACTCCAGCACGGTATTAGCTATCCATATTTTGTTCTCATTTACATCCGTATAGATACCATTGCCATCGCAATCTTGACTACCAAAGCTTATTATCCCAAACTGAACCAACAATATCCTTCCTCTGTATTTGAAATTTGACACCAGAGGACCACCAGAGTCGCCCCCGCAAGTGTCGCCATGTGGGCTGCCTGCGCAAATTTGGCCTATGACGGTACCATAGCAATCCTCTGCAGGCAGTCGCTCCAGATCGACGAATTTCAGATAACTGGTTGAATTTTGCTGCTTTGTATTACCCCAGCCGTAAGCCAAAAATTTGTTGACCCCATCTGATTTCACCTCCTCATCTAAGACGATGCAAATTGGCTGGATATTGGCTGTGAAAAGAACGAAGTATTATTTTGAAATCTGAATAATTTTCAGCAGTTGCATGCATTGATAGACATACCATTGAAAGTCACTTCCTTATCCAGTTTTAGCAGAGCAATATCATTGTAAGCTGAATGTACAGAATTAAACTTTGGATGTGGTATAAACTCGGCGTTACGATACTCCACGTATGGACAAATCACCCGCGAGCAAAATCGGTAATTCGATCCCAAACGGACGGTTCTAAGAAAGTTCAAAAATCAATCTAAATTTGATCTGGACAACGTCAGGACTGTACTTACATAGTATAATTACGGTTACAGTGAGCAGCTGATAGAACGTATTCTGAAAACGAAACAAGTGTTAATTTTTATTCTCAACTCGTTTACCTTATTCCCTCACTTTTGGTAATTAGTGTGCCGCCGCATTGAAGTTCGGTATCATTGTACAGGCCTACCATAAACGGAGCATTCACAATTGCCATTTGACCGCCAGTTATTCTAAAGTCTAAACTCTTTGGCTCAAAACAGTTATCTTCCAAAAGCTGGGAATCTCCTCTATGGCAGAGCACCAAAGCTATAAGAACTAAAATAACGGAGCCGTACATCCTCATCCTCGAATATGGTCTGTATAACTAAACCGACTTCGATTGAGAAGAATTGAGAACAAGAGAACTCGAGTTAATGTAATCTGTAATGTAATACATATACTTATGTATATATAAAGAATACGTCCATTTCCTCTTAAGATATCAGTTCACGAGAATAGAGAAAAAAGAAAATGAAGAGAGTGAAGAGACAAAGAGAGATGTAAAACCAAACCAGTGTAACGATAATACGGAATTGTGATTAAAGTTAATTGATTTTATAATAAATTATTTTTAATAAAGTTTGTAGGGGCAAAATAAAGTAATACGTCAGCATGTTCGGAGCTTTGTGAGAATTGGTTATTCCTAGGTATTCGATTTATATAGGAAATTCGTCTTATTTATGGACTTCGTGGAGACCGCTTCTTCTGACGTCCGCACAGCAGCCCTTTGTGCAGTTAGACTTACAGAAGTGATTATATTGTGATCATGCTTGTGAGGTCACAGATAATAATATATATATATAGATATAGATATAAAGATATAAATATTAAGTTAGTTAAAAGAGTATTCGTTCCTAAAGACAGAGTAAAAAATGGCGTACTTGAGCTTTTGTTTTGATTTAAACACTTTCTTAACATTCAAAGTATTTCTGCTTTTTTCAAGGGAAAACAAGAAAACAAAGAAGTCTCACATTGACATTAAATATAAAAAATAACTTCCAAGGCATCGATTCCACTAAATTCGGGACGTTTCTTCAGAAATGTTCGACGATTCCTCATGTAATACATTTTTCAGATTATTTTTTCTAGAAATCGTGTCCTTCCAGAATTTGAGCTTAAGATTAAGGACACACAAATTTTTGATGGGGTTAATTCGTTTGGATTTGTTTTGAGTTATACGAGTATAACAGCCGCATGTTGACTCTCGAAGCCATTTGATTTGGTTTAATGTGTTATTGGAAAATGAACTTCTCGTTTTCTAGACCCAATTTAGCACTGGAGTAATACATATCAGCATTCATTATTCCTTGTACAAAAACCAAACTTGCCATTCCTTGAGCTGACTACAGCACCAAACTACGACAGAGCTGTGTGCACTATGCTGTTTGAGTACGTTTCTGAAGATTTTTGATGAAACATTGGTTTCCGAGAATGTGGAGATGACCGTGTTAATTTTTGAAGCCAATAAGTGGGGGTTTTTTATATTTTCTTTATAGATTTTCCGTTTTTTATTTTGTTATATTTTTTGTAAGCCGATTTTTAGGCTTATTTTTAAATTTTTTCTATAATTACCGTTTTTTTAACTTTTTTGGATTTAGATTATAGAAAGAAAACGCACAGAAACATTTTTCGAAATGGCTAAGGACAGTTCTTCGCTTCTTTTTTCTTTGCTTTTTAAAAAGATAATAAAAGATAAATATATTCAACCCAAAAATAATACAAAAATGTGACCTATACTTATAATAACCATTTTTATATAATCCTGTGAACGATTTGAAGGTAAACTTTAACGAACTTGTAAGATTGCAAAAAAAATCTTATCAAAAAAATGGTTTGTCTATTTTGGTAAATGGGAAAGCATGTACTCAGCTGCAGAGCCGAGAGGCAGACAAATCATTATTGCTCAATGCAATCAATCATGGCTAATACGCTTTTGGTAATAAGATGCCACCACACAAGCGCCCCTTAACGAAATGGGCGGTGGAATGGGGAGGGGATGTGTCATGGTTATGGGTAAATGCTTGCGCTCAACTCGAGCATATGTTAATTCAATAATTCCAGGCAATTTTCATATCAAATCAATGAACGAGTCTCGACGTCTGCCTCCCTTTGAGTTGGCCATGTCAATCAACCACCGGCAGTAGTAGAAGAGGTAGCTAAATGCAGATATATCTGCGCCAGTAACATCAGCCACATGCCACGCCCCCTGAGCGACATGCCGCTTTACAATGACATTAACATGACTTACATGACAAGCGATGAGTGGAGAGGCGACTTCTGGGGACGGAGGTTGCTCTGAAGGAAAGGGAAAGCAGACAGCATCGTATGCCATTTAAATGAGTTTAATTTGGAATTTTCGTTTGATTTTCTTGGCCCAACTTTGGCCGAAGCTTATCCGCTGTGCACCCTCATTTTCCACCCCCACCCTCTATTGGCCTTTGTAATTGCTTTTGCTTTTTGTTCGGCTTTTGTTTGGTCTCTGTCTCAGTCTTGTGTAAACTTTTCCCTCGACATTGTTGGCAGACTGTTGAAATTGTTGCTCAATCTGCACAAACACGTTTACATGTGAGTACATATATATATATATATACTACGTTTATAGTGTGTCTGTCTGAATTACAAACTAAATTCGTGTGCGCCTTGACTGACTGACTAAAATTCCCTAAATCTTTGCTCCTTGTGCTAATTCTGTAGAACCTGAGTTTAAATGCAGCATTAATAATATTTAACACAGCGATTTTACAACTCCTAGAAATCTCCGAATCAATGACAATTCAATATGACCCCATTTGTTTAGGATTTTTGTTTTCCAATCCCACAACTAAAATATCTTCAGTGCCCAAAAGTATGCTATAAATAAAATAATACATTATATTTCGACTTAGTTTTTCCTCTCTATAAATAAAGTTATTACCCTAAACCAGTACTACCAGTTTGCTTTGAAGAATGACACAAATTTAGATTTTAAAGGATTTGCCAGAAAAATTGCTACCTTGCCACGTTACTAAGAAGTCAACATATTTTCCCTTAAGAAAATAGCGAAACATTTTAAAGTTAAGCGAGATACAAAGGGGAGCCGCCAAAGAAAGAGATAGAAAGGCATACATGTAAATATTTATGCAAATGCGTTAATGGAAATCTGAAATGTGGATAAGTTGGTGGGGGCGGAGGTGTGTAAAAGGAACGTATAGCGATGGCGACACGTTGATAGTCGAGTTTATGGGGCGACAGGATACATTTCGGCAAAAAGACCGTGTGTGCTTCCCTTTTCGCTTTCCCTTTTCCCGGAGCCCTCAGATTGCTGCTCATTATGGAATCCTAACACCCAAACAATCCGCACGAGTCTTGCAAAATTCATTAGGCAGCAGCACGTTGTCCACCCACTTTCACCCCCTTCGCCAAACAAACAACCCTGGGAAACAGGAGCATCAGGATTTTACAGAGAGGTAGCACATATCAAAGGGAATGCGAAAGTGAACATGACTTAATAGCCGAAAGTCATTCGGGAAAAAGGACGAAAGGTAGGTGTTGCCCGGTTTATTTGGTTGTGGACTTCAAAATTGAAACTAATTGTTTTAAAATTTATGCGGAGAGGGCGGAGACCGGGTGGGATATGTGTGACATTTGTTTTGTGGCAGCTTTGGGGTTGCTGCTCCACAAAATATCAGGGGGCCAGGCTAACTGCTTCTCTCATTCTGATGAGGATGGATGCCGGCGTTGAATGTGACAATTGGGAATTAAATTCAAGTGTAATGGACTGTGCTGGCTGCAATGGGTTAGGTATAAAGTCTTTGGTCTGTGGATTCAGAACGTGGGACACACTTTAAGCCAGATTTTAGTTCGAGTTTTTATAGTGAATAGTGAAAAATTCTTAACATTTCTTTCACAACTAACGTGTTTGTTTAGTAACTGGAAAGAATATAAATTAAATATTTTCATGAGTAGGTCCAATTATCTTCTTCATCAGCTACTTTTCTCCATCTCATAATGTTTTCAGTCCAATTTCTTGGTAATTGCCACTTTTCTTGTTTTCCATTTAAACAGAATCACTTAAAAACACTGCTAATTAAGTTGGTTACCCTGGCCGGCGATTCACTTCACCTTTTGCCTCCTCATCAGTCTCACCTCTGGCGAATGGTGCCTCATTATGCAAAAGTTTAGCTTTATTTAAATTCAACTCTCGCCGTTTTTGGCGCGGCGAATGGCGAATTCAAGTGCAGCGGAGAGTTAAGGGGGAATGGGAACATGCATATGCATAAATAGACAGGTTTAGACTGGCTTCGTTCTGCTCCCCCGCTGGTAAATACGCATAATAGCTACTCACGGCTTGAGTTGCCGCCTTGAAATATTTCCCAGCTCATAATTTATGGAGAAATATGGCTGGGGGTCGCAACATGTTTATGTTTTCCTGTTTCCGTAATATCTTCCTGCCTTCATTTCGCCTTTTCCTCGGCGTTTTGTTGTTTGCATTTTGTCCCTCTCTCGGAAAGAATGCATTGCATACTTTGTTGAGCAGCAAAAAAAAGGAGGAAAAACTGAGCAGAGGTCTCAACATTTTGACTCGGCTTTTTGTTTATATTTACTCTGTTCTCGTTTGTTAAAATTCTCCCTCTTTTGTTGGCTCATTAAGCTGACATATTTTTCTTATCAACGTTTCGTTTAATCACAAGGCCAGTGTAAAAAATAAATGGAAGCAAATTCCTGGAAATGGCAGTCATTGACTCTACGGTTAATAATCGTATTGAGAGCCCCATTTAATGACCACTCTAAGCACTCACTCGTTGGCCTCTTGTCTTTCAATGGGAAAAATTGCAAATGTCGCCGGCAATAAAAACACAGCCATAAATGCTGGCAAGTGATGTACGAGCTTAATTAGCTCTCCACGCTATTTCCATGCTTTCGTGTTTACGCCGTGACATAATTAGGTAACAGAATCATAAGGCGGAAAAAAACACTGACAAATTGCCCTCATTAGCAGAGGGATGAGCTTAAAGGCTTAGTGAAATGTAAAATGAAAATGCATATGCAAAATGAAAAATCAATTATACTTTTTCTAATTATAAATATTGCCAACTTCATAAATGAAACTCATAATTTGATTTTTAAAAAAGAAAGAGAAACGTAAGTTTCTTTCTTACATCGATTTACTATCTTTGCTTATCAAAACTTAAGTCTTTTCTTTGAACTTGTTGACCAACATATAGCTATATGCTATATCCAGCAACATATTTTCCAGCTCTATTGTTTGTAAATAAACTATAATTATGTTAAACTGCAATGACGAAAGGGGTAGAAGTGGTGAATATTTCTGCACAGCCGAACCTTGTTACAAACGCCCACTTGACCATCGAATGGGTGGAAAATTAAAGGACCTTATGGGGCGTATACGTAATTTAAAAACGTTTAAAATGTCATTAACAAATTGCGCGGCCATATCATTTGATAATGTGTCTCCAAGCTTTTGAGATTGCGTGCATGTGACTTGATTATCGGTTAAGGGACGGCAAAAAGTCATTCGAAAGGTGGGCCAACAGTGAGAGGGCTCAATGATCCCAGGAGTGGGGATCGTCAGCTTATGGAGTGCCTATCCTTTCATATTTTGATGTAGTTAAAACGTCAATCAAATGAATAGGGAAGAATGAGAGGGAGAAAACGGAGGATTTGCGGCTGTTGGGCGAACGAAGGGATTGACTGCCATTCAAAACTATATCAAAAAGCGACTGACAAACTGTTTGACAGACTGCCTGATTGACTGTCCAGACAGCCGAACAACATACATTCTGCCAACGAGTTGACGATGTGACTGAACTCTGACGCTCAGTAAAGTCCTGCGGAGTCGTGACTGAACCCAGCGAACATGGACAGCAAACATTTCAATCGGATTTCGAGCAATTCCAATTCAGATTCGCACAAACACACTCACCCACTCACCCACTCACACACTCACACTCAGACAATTTGCATAAAAGGGAAAAAGAAGGTTCGGAACAAGGCAAACATTTATGCCTCACACACACACACTCTCACCCATGGCAGCCATTTCCGTTTCCGCACGTTTGACGTTGGCAAACGCAGACAAAATAGTCGAGAAAAAAGAAAACCCAAACTTTTGGGTGGAGCGGGGTAGACAGTCGAAAACATGAAACATGCAAAATGAAGTTTGAATCGCGGGAAACAGGCCAAAAACCAAAGCCAAACAGCAAAAAGGTGGATCTGACGACTAAAGACCACCCTCCCATTGCCTCCTTTTCGCATTTTGTTTGCCCTGTCACTTGGTTTTTTAGGCAGTTGCAGTTTTAAGGCCAAACAACAGGTCGATGAGGTAAATCATCAACCTGTGGAGTCTCTAGCCCCAAAAAGTTCCTTAGAAGTGTCACGTTCTCATGTGGGCTTTTCCCTTCCCCGATATTTGCATAATATTTGCACAAATAATTGAATTTATTTTTTGCTCGTGCGGCTTGTGCGCTACCCGCTAAATTGTTTTGGGTAAATTTTCGGCTTATGTCGTATGCAGACAGAGTTTGTTTTGGTAATGCAAAGACCCATTTTTTTTGAGGCTGATCGCCTGCAATTGAGGTTTTTCCAAAGTTTTTTCTTTCGCTTATCGTAGTTAAGTTAAATGTTAAACTTGCCATGAAATTGAATGTGCATGAGCTGGAAAGATAGTAGTGGAGTTCAGGTAAATAGGGATGTGTTGTGTTGGAAATTGTATGCTCATGATGAGTGTGTCTGGCTGGGAAAGTCTATAGATTTTAAAGATTTAAGGGTAGAGAGGTGTGTTCTTAGGACTATGAAATGAAAACAAAAATCTGTCCAATAACACTGAAAACCCGAACTTAGCATTAATAACTATTTTCTCAAAGTCTAACTGTCAGGATCTCTCATCGCATCTTTTATATACTGATTTATTGATCGATAAATAGTAGGAGAGAGCCACGCGCCATAGTTTCTGAGAGTCCTTTTGAAATTTGAAAACCCCTAGGACATAAGTCAACCTAATGAATTCCACCCTTTGAAGCTGACAAACAATTTTCGTTCTCATTGCCACTGCAATTCGAATTCATCACGACCAGTCGCAGTCGAATGAGTTCGCAGCAAGCTTATGGCCTCGAAGGATTTCACAAAATGCGGCCACTTATCAAATCAATGCGCTCTGCGGGTCCTTTTGGATCCTTGGGAATTGCAACTGCAACGGCAAACTGCAGCTTGTGCAATAAATGCGTTCATTTAACATGAAATGCAAGACGCAAGCTGGAAGTATTGAAATGAAATGTGGCCTGCTTCAGAACGCTTAAAAGCGACAAATTCGCTTTGTGTCAGCGGAGTAAGTCAAGTCAGTCGAGGCTCCTTGAGCTCCTCGCCGAATGTTGCTCATACGCCACGTTGCACTTATTTCATTCAGCTGCAGCCACATCTGAGACTGTCTGGCTGGATCTAGTGCTGGGTCTTGGGTCTTAGGTATCGGGTAATGCACTCACACACATTCTCCCCCAGCATCCTTGCAGCCCTGCATCCTTTTCTCCAAGTCAGCGACTTAGCGCGTTGACTTAACTTGGCAGGGATTTACGACAACGCTCCACGGAGCTCGAATAACATGCAGCCTTGTCAGCTTGCTGCCTCGTACTTCGTTCTTCGTCCTTTTGCTCCCTTAATTCCATCCCTTTTTTACAACATACCCCCCAACCATTCATCCACCTCCCCTTTTATTAAGTTGAAATAGACGCAGGCTAAATAAATCCATGTCGCTTAAGTCGAAGCTCTGACGTTGTCATGTGTGTGCGATTGTGTGTGTGTCGCCGGAAAATGCTGGGAAACTGCTGAGCGTATGTATGTTATTCATGTATTTCATTGCCTGGCATTTAAGTTGAACGCTGATGCATAGTGCAGTGTGCATAATTAAAACGAACACTCTTCTGGAGTCTGGTAAAATAATATAAAAAGGAAAATCAGGACGAATGACGGAGGAAGATAGTCAGTCAGTTGGCTAATTAAAGCAGTTTACTTTCGAAAAATCCCATCGTATTTCTTCTTTTCTCTTAAAACTCGAATGTTTTAATTATTTTAAATCTTTAAGTTAAGCTTATTATGCTGAAATCTGGTATTCATTATGATTTCCCTATCATGGATATTAATTTTAAAGTTTAAAGTTCTTTCAGAGTCTCAAAATTTATGTTGTTTTCCCTCGAATTATTAAAAACTTTCACAGATTAAGTAACTTATTCCTTTCCTTTATCTTTCCAGAGCCTTTGTGGACAACACCCACCTGCAGACGCTGCACCTGAACAACAATCCCCAGCTGAGCGACATACCGATGCGCCTGTTCCAGGGTAATCCCAACATCCTGGAGGTCTACATGCAGAGCAACAGCCTGCAGACCTTGTACTCGGCTCAGTTCCCGGTGGATCAGCTGCAGAAGCTCTATCTGGGTGATAACCCACTCCAGTGCAACTGCTCCCTGCTGTGGCTCTGGCGATTGGTAACCGGAAATTTCGAGGGAGTAGATCCGGGAATGGAGCATGCAGCTGGAGGCGCAGTGGCTGCTCTGGCCAAAGAAGCTGATGACGAGGAGCTGGCAGATGATGCCACCGCAGTGGCCTCCACAGATGATGGAGTGGCCGCCTTGGCTGCCTATATAGCCGAGCAGCACATAGTAAATGCCCTGCATACCACCGAACCCAGTGCCTACGAGCTGGCCACCTCGTCGTCAAACAGGAATTCGGGTATCCTGCGAATGGATCGCCAGCAGATTGGCTGCGACATCTGGCGGGACAAGGTGCGATCGAGACGGCAACTGCTGGCGATGAGCGAAGGCGAGATCACCTGCCCTGCCCACATCGTGACCGTGGTCTGTGCGGTCATCACATGTCTCCTGGTGGCCATGATCGGTGTCAGCGTGCTCTACTATCTGAGGTTCGTCAAGCGACGGAGGAAGCTGCTCCACGAACGTGGTCCCTTGAGGACCAGCAAGAGCATCATCAATGTTCATGATCGCATCCTGCAGGGTCACAACCCAGGAAGTTTAGGCATGGGCATGGGCATGAGTATGACCCTGGGCGGCGGCAATCATGTCAACGGCCTGGGCATGACCCTGAACTATCCGCATCATGCTCAAACCCTGCAGGCCCATCATCATTACCACCAGGCCATGCCACTGCAGTCCCACGTGGGCAACGGCGGTCATGAGTACCAGCAGACGACTCTGCCCCAACTGGATAAACTCGAACTGGAGCGATATCTGGCGGCCCAGACGATTGCCAATGAATACCGGGCCCTCAAGCCCTGGGAACTGCCCGTCAAGGAGGCGGACGATGAACCGGAACACCTGTACGAGCGGTTCGATCACTACGAATATCCGGATGCCCATACCATGAGCAAGCAGAAGCAGGCGGCGGCCTTGAACCACTCCACCTCCTCGGCTGGTCCCTCGCCCGTTCCTCCCTCCTCGGCCAAACCGCACGTGGTCTACGTATGACGTGGACGTGGCAAGGGCGAACGGGCATCCCATACGGATATCGAAATGGTCGGACTGAACCACCACCACCCACACCACCACTACAACAATAACAACAACTATCGGGGCTGTGTACAGAGCGCCAAGGCCAGCGGTCAGTTCTGAGTTGGATAATTCAAGGGGTTAACTCAAGCAAAAACAGGGAAAGTGAGAGGTTAGGTTAAGGAAGAGATTCAAAAACGGCAAGCTTAGAGGGAAATTTCGATGGGGTAGTGGTATAAACTGCGAGCTAAAGTAACTTACTTTTGAAGAGAAAAAACCCATCTTAATTGCCCCCTAAAATGCCTAGCATACTCTTTTAGGTTGGATTACGTATTTTTTTTCGAATAATACCAACAAAGTTTAACAAGCGTCAAATGAAACAAGGGATATGTCTACGTGTATAGCAAGCATACAAATACTCTTAATGAACTACGGATAACAGATATATTAGATATGTATACTAACTAACCGCTAAACTAAGATACGAATACGATTTCAAAGAAACCTTTTGCTGGCCCCAAACTAAGCTAAGCTGCATTCAAGTCTCACTCACTCACTCTCTTTCTCCCACTCATAGTTAAAATGGCATTTAGCATTCGAATAATCTAGATAGCATTTAGTAAGTAACTTACAAGTGAATTTAAATATATATATATATGAATATATATTAGATATAACGATAAAGGAGAGTGCAAGCTAAAGGAGTTAATGGTTTATTTCCTGATTTGGTTCACGAAATTACTGGAAATGCGTTCAGCACTTGGGCTGATGTGGCGAAAAAGATAGACAGACTTTGGCAGGCAATTAACCTAAAAGGGGACCAAATAGTCCAGTCCAGTCCAGCCTAGAACTAACTGAATGAATCCAACTGCCAAAGAGGTCCTTTTCACAGCCATTGGCCCGCTGAACTGTATTCCAAGTTTCCTAACCTTGGCTAAAAAACATCTCGAATGACAATATACAAAAACATTAAGCGGAAAACTAACAAGAAACTAAATTATAACGCCTATATTAAATGTATCTTAGTGAGCCCGAACTCAAAGTTGAAGAAACGATAAATATAATTTGTAAATATCCCTCGATGTACGTCTGTACTGTAAATAATTTATGGAATGCATTTAAAAACATTAGTCAAGTGCATAGTTTATTGATTTAAGAATAAAGAATGATTTCCAAAAAGCAATAACTCTGAATCAAAGCTCGTTTGTTGTTATTTTTCGGTTGAGTTTGATTTGCGAATAATAATTTAATTAAATGCGACAACAGCATGGCAAATAACGGACAAAACTAACGGTATTTGCATAACATAGCCACAAACACCCACACCGAGCACACAAAAAGCGAGTGTAAAAAATATTTCCCAACTAGAAAAAGGTATATGCGTTTATACTAAATAAGCAAAATCAAAAGGCAGACAGGCAATGCAGAAAATGCATTTAGAAAAACACACAGAAACTAAATTCTGAAAATATAAAACAAACAAGAGGAAACGCTATAGTCGAGTGCCGCGACTATAAGATACCCGTTACTGTTTTACACAATTTTAAAATATTAATTTTGCTAGTGGAAATTCACAAGGCGCCACCTATTGTCAGAGGAAGTATGTTGAGTATGCTTATAGTGACGTCACTGCCCATGTGAGGCCTTATAACTTAATTTCTTTATAAATAGCGAAATAATGTTCCGATTTGAAAAATCTTTTGTAAATCGATAGATATTAACAGAAATAAGTTACACAAGGTCAAACGAAGGCATTCATAATAATATTATAGACTCCACAGTTTTCCGCGGTTTGTGGGCGTTAGAGTGGGCGTGGCCGGATGCAACTTCGTGGAAAGTTGCAGTGGCATCTCCTAAATACGTGTTTCTAAGCAAAATTGTGTAGCTCTTATAGTTTTTGAGATTTTTGCATTTTTGGTTTTTCCGGTTTTGTGGGCGTTAGAGTGGGCGTGGCGTGATCGGAAAAAAACAATTCCCATTGGGAGCATCATAGAAACATACGTGCTTGATCCGAACTTTCTATCTCTTATAGTTACCGAGATATCAGCTTTTCTAGAAAATCCGAAAACCGTCTTTTGAGCCTTGTGGGCGTATGGGTGGGTGTGGCCGGATAGTAGTAGCACTATAAGATGCGCTGTCATCTAAAGATTATACTTTCTGAATTTCAACTTTCTATCTGCAATAGTTCCTGAGATTTCAGCAATTTTAGTTTTTTGCGATTTGTGGGCGTTAGAGTGGGCGTGGTAGGATGCTGTAATAAACTTGCGCTGTCCCGGGACCTCAAGAATCTTCATGCTTAATCTCAGCTTTGTATCTGCTATAGTTCCTGAGATCTCAGCGTTCATACGGACGGACGGACGGACGGACGGACGGACGGACAGACGGACATGGCTCAATCGACTTCGCTATTGATCCTGATCAAGAATATATATACTTTATAGGGTCGCAAAAGCTTCCTTCTATCTGTTACATACTTTTCAACGAATCTAGTATACCCTTTTACTCTACGAGTAACGGGTATAAAAACAGTTTGTGTATAAAAGGAGCAGAGAGCACAGAGAGAGAGAGAGAGATAGCAAGGGAAATGCTAAATGGCAATGGCAAATGGCACATGGAAAATGGCCAGGCAGCCAACCGTAAGTTTAAATCTAATAATATGATATACGCAAAAATATTTAATTAAATGATAGACACACCCACAGCAACAACAACAACAACAACAACAAATGTTATTTCTTATACGAAGACTGAAGAAAATGATGAAGTAAAAATAAAAACAAACAAGAAATTAAAAACGCTCTTTTCACTCTAATCAACTGCAAATGAAGGTAACAAAGTGGCAAGCAGGAAAACTTGTTTTCTAGGCAGCAATAAATTAAGGATTTACCTAGATGAACTCGTCCTTTGTGCTTGTTGGGCATTTTTTCCCCCCATCAGTTGGCATAAAATACGACAAATCTGCTGGGCAGCAAACGAGGCAAGGCTGAAATCCATGTAAAACAAATAAAATACTTGTATATCCTGGCCAAGGGAGTGGCCCCAGTGAACTGAAGCTGAATCCGAATCCGAAACTGAAACTGAAACTGCAGAAGAAACGGCATAAATCTAGTGCCGTAACAAGTGCTCGACAAACACTCCCACGCCCACATAAGTAAGTAACCCAAAACGCCTACAGCAGGACACAGAAAAAAACTCGTAAGGGGGTGGTGAATATATGTGGCTCAGTAAGCCAAAGTAAGTAAAATATTTACTGCCCAGTCAATTGTGCTGAATTGTTGCTCTCCACTAAAGCTGCTAAGTCCTGTTGAAGGGATACAATTTAAGCTGCATCCGAGGAATATTTCTGTACTGAGAATGAAGTTAAAGGAAGTTTATTTTCTTTTTGATGGTTAGCAAAAAGAAATCTCTGTCATGTTCATAAAACCAAAAGCATCTGCACTGCTTTTAAACATATTGCTGTTTATTTTCTGTTTTAAAAATGAAGTTGGATGAGAAATCTTTGATATATGACTGTAATTAAAGTTATTAAAATTACCAAAATTATTAAGGGTTTAAAATCTTTTCTTATAAGAAGAGTACTGTTATGGGTATAAAATAATAAGGTATTTTTTAAAATAAAAATATATGATTTTTACCAAGCATTTATTGTGAGAAATTTAATATTTAAATTCCTAGGAGTTACAAAATAAAATTACAACTCGTGATTAGATGTGATGATCCCCTCACTCTTTGTCCGTTTCCCTCGAGTATCAGTTTAAAAAGAGAACTTAGGCGAGTGGTTACCGATTAACTTAAAAGAGATTTAACATTAAAACTATCGATTGTCTTGGTTCGGCGTTGCCAGATGACGCGGGAGCAGTTCAATGCTTATCGCAACAGATGTTAATCCAAACAGCTTTAAAGTTGAGATACTTGTTGACATAAAGGATAAAAACATAGGAATTTATAATTTTCTTGATATAATTTAAATATATAATAATAATAAATAGGTTCTGAAATGTCCACTTTAGAGGTCGCAAAGTATGAAATGAGTAAACTCAAGTAAGAAATATAGATTTTGCAACCATGCTGTAAATTAACATGAAATATAATATAAATACTAACTAAATAGAATCGTAAAGTTTCCTGATTTTATAAATTACTTCCATTTACATTTAAAGTACAAAAACTACAATAGAACAATGAAAACCGTAGTGAAAAAAACAATTGTCAACTCACTTTTAAGAACAAATAAAAAATGTAGAACAACAAAAGCGCAAACAACAACAACAAAAGAGAAGAGAACAAAAAGACATAAGAATTAAGCAAATAAATCTGAATGCTTTCTAAATAATTAACATGCCTGGAGCTCACTTTCATTTAAACTGGGTCCCTGCCACTCATTGAGTTGTTCAACTCAACGCGCGGCTTAGACGGCGACAAATCCCCCGTGTCTGTGTTTGAATGATTGTGGGGCATTTGTTGTGGCATGAAATATAACCAACCAGCAGCCACCAAGCACCCACCACCGCCCACTGAACCACCCTGTGGAAATTCCAGGGAATCAAGGAAACACCTGAGTCTGCGTCTCGGGAGCCTCCTCATGGGTGTAGGCGTGTGAATAATGGCAAGTAATTAATATTTCGACATTATTCTTCTGAACGCAAGAGGAAAAGGCAACATTATATGCTTCCCTCCCCCTTTATCTTTCTCGTTTAATTAGCTTGGAAAGTGTTTCGGAAAAACTTGCGCATAAGTCATAAAGTGCAGGAAATCGAAGGCTGAGTGGGTTCCATTAAATGCAGCTAGCCATCTGAATAACGATTTCAGTGGCATTTTAATTGCCCGAGCCAAATGAAATTTCGTTATATAGACCATTGCCATTAACCGGGGATCCAGAGATATAGCCAAAGATGCCAGATAAACACACTTAAACAACGCACATAAAAACTTAATGTCCTGCAATTTGTTAAAAGATGCGCAAACTGCCCAATAAAATATTTCCAAGACGACGGTGGCTTTAATGTGATTGAAAAGATTGTGTGGCCAAAATCAGGTCTCCCACTTCAGCTAATTGTTTGCGTGCATTTTGAGAATGCGGGTCCAACAGCTGTGTCCACAGAAGGACACTTTGTTTGCACTCGGGGACAAGGAGAATTGCTCAAATAATGGTCGAGACAGAAACGTGTGTGTAAATACGTTTACTCATGCACTATGATAAATCAAAGTCACTTAGCGTTGATGTCGATTTGAAATTCACTTACGGCCCCGCAGAACGTCAAAGTACTGACCAAACAAAGGTCTTGAGCAAAAAAGAGTAAAGGGAAGACCCAAGGACATATCATTTATATCAATTTAAATAACGACCTTTCAATGGCTAGAGAAATCCCGTAAAAAGCTCAAGAAGGAAATGCTTAGATGGATGGTCGGACGAGGCATTGACAGTTGTAAGCCATAAACCACAGAAAATTGGGCATTATATTAGTTAAGATGCTGTCAGGCCGTAAGATATCCCATTCTTGAGGCCAAGGGACAGCCCATCGTGCAGACATATCGCTTTCAACACGGGGATAACTCGGGTCGGCGAGGTCTCTCCAGGAGATAATCGTACGGACAAGGAGTATCCCGTAACCGGCACTAAAACACCGTTTGACAGGCAACGAAAGCCGGGAAGAGCAGCTCCTGGAAAGGGGAATCCCCAACATTGAAACCGAGACAGAGCTAAAGTGACCACCAGATAAGCAAACGCATTCATCTTAGGGAAAACTGAAGAGGGAAAAGGGGAGATTCTAACCGCCATGGTCAAAGAAATCCGAATAAAGTTAAACAAAACTTGGACACACATATTAAGGGGCTTAAAGTGTAGCAGCAGAAACCTAAAACAAGGAACTTATCTTGACAGTTGGACTGTGCACTTAACCAGGTTACCCGCAAAATACACCTATATATCTTGATCAATTTGGCCAGCGAAAAGAAACAAAAAAAAAAAAGAAAAAGAGAAACTTAAATCATAGCCAGCTTTTGTTCAGTTTTCCAACCTGGTTTCTGTTGCCTTTTTTCCTGGTTTTTGTTTTGCGGGCTTTGTCTGCGCCACTTTGCTTATCTTGGCCACACTTTTTATTGGCCGCCTTTATTTGGCCTGACATCCCCCATATTTCACCCAACAGCAGCAGCACCAGCAGCAGAGATAAGTGGCAACCGGAAGGACATGCGAATTAGTTATGGTTTTCGGGGAAACTGCTTCTCAAAGGGGTCCAGAAAGTAAGAGTTGCAAAGGAAAAAGAAAGGGAAACCCAAAATAATATTGAAATATTTTAAAGAAAGATTATTTATCATTTCAGATTTGATATCATATAACACTTACCACACCAATTCCTTTACCACTTATCCAAATATCAGAAATAACTCAAAAATATTTATACGACTCCATAAATTACTTTTGCAATTTAAAAATCTTCCCGCAGATCCCACTAAAAATTTACAGCTCTATCAAAAATTATCGCAGCAATTTCTCAACCAGCAACAGGAAAAAATTTACAAAATCAAATTTTCATTGCCACCGCAAAAATCAAATTTCCAGAACTCACGAAATGCGAGTGTGGAGCTTGTGAAACATTTTTCTCTTTTTTATGGAAAATTCGGGTTTTCCCCGAGATATTTTCAAACATGACACCTGAAACTTTGGCATACAAATTTATGAAAATATTTGCACATCAATTTTGCAGCTTGAAGGATGGGGAAGCCAACACCTTTTGGCTTCATTGAACTTGCAGCTTCGCATTACACAAAGCCAGAGGTGGAGTCTGCCACCCCGATACACATGCAAATGTACATATACTCGAATATATATATAAACTGAATCAATTTTTACCGCGATAAACTTCGGCTTCACCTTCTGGGGAGAAAAATGGAAGGAGCTGAGGAATTTACGGCACTGAGGTAACTGCAAAATGTTGTGTAAAATTTGCAAATGCAATAAATAACTCGTTTCGTTGTAAAAAAAGGGGTTTGCTTTTGCTGTTTACACCCCCTTACAAAGGCTTGTAGCGATTCCTCTTTTTTGTATTTCTGTATTCCTTTTTTTTGCCTCTGGTTAGATTTTTCAACCCCCTCTAAAACGAAAAGCGCGCCACATGTGCGAGTCTGCTTGTAGTTCCTGTGGGTTCTGCTTCCTCTTCTGGTTGGAATACTCTATGAAAAGGCATGTTTTGGATATACTTTAAATTATTTTTTAAAAAATATTAAGAGCTAGCTAGCGTTCTTATAAATTACGTCTACATATTTTCTATTTATTTAATGATACATTTAAATGTTGGAATTAAGTAGAAATAAGTGTTGTTTAACTAAAGTTATTAATAAATATATTCTGTTTATATTATCGTTTAGTTTCCTTAGCTCACATTTTATAGAAATATAGGAAAAGAATCCCTTTTTATTTAATAAAACAAAATTAAATACTTAAAAATGAAGTTTTAGAGTATGTGATTCAGGCTACTCTCGATGTTTCAATTATTTTCTATTTTTAGTGGTTTAAATAAGTTTGGAAGTTCAGTAATAATATAAACCTGACCCTATTTAGTTATTAAAATGGAAGTTAGTTACCCCCACGGCAGAAACAAAATTCTGCGAAATTGCCAGTTGACAGAAAAAAAAACAATTTTAATTTAAAATTTTTAAAAATTACGTACAACAAGGGTATTTGGAACTCCGAAAACTCGCTCCAAAAACAATCTACTCTTTTGCAGTCCTTTTTTTTGTTTCGCTTTGCGTGTTTTTTGGTGTGGCGGAAAGCATCCCCGAAAGTATGCAAATAATTTTTGGCTCCAACTCATATTTGATATTCAGTGTCAGTTGCTCGAAAGGGTTACCGAATACAAGTTATTGAAATTTGCATGCAACGGGGCGGGTGATAAGGGGGAAATGGCTGGTTGGGGGAACAGCAGGCGTTGTTGAGGCAATTTATAGCACTTGTGTTCTCAAAGGGGGAGGTTCCACTGCTGAGGCAAACTTCTCGGTTATTGTTTCGCAATATATAGAAAAAAACCGGGGCAGGGATTTCTCAGCTCTCGAAGGGCGTAATTGTTTAGCAGTCTTTTGGCTTGATGATGTTGCCTTGATTTTTTGGCCACGAAATTTTCAACATTTTGCTGGGATTTCTCCCTTTGCATGCAGATACCCAATTAAGCTTTAGCCTGGTTCAACGCTTTCACATCCATCAGGATTTGGATGCGGCACTCAAAAGTTACCATCGCAACGCTAACCGCAGGAAAAAACGTCGAATAAAAAACTAGGCAAATCCCTGAAAATCGCAAAAACTCCGCTAATAACATTGTCATATGGCCGGGGTGATGATGAATTTTCATTTTTTTTTAGTCTTTTTGCCACTAAACTTCGCTTATCAAAGTTGAAATTGCAGTTCGTAGCTGCGGTGCGCATTGGGGATTTGTTGGGGCCACTCGAAAACTCCAAATGCGAGGCATTTATAGTGGGCCAAAGGGATGAGGGACAAAGGATTTCATTTGAAACTCTGATACGAGCAATCGCCGTTTTATTTGCCTTTTTTTTGTGGCCCGCCGAGTTTCATCATCGTACGCCACTGACCCAGTTCAGACATTTATCACAACGGCACACATAGATACTGGCGATTGTCCTGAGGGTCTAACCCTAGCACAATGAATGACCTCCTCATATCCCATCCGCTTCCTGCCCCATTCCCCCCTTACCGCCTCCCCCTCCAACAATCCCACTGCTGACTGCTGACTAAGTGGACTTTTATTTCACTATTATTACGGACTACGCTGCGTATACGCAATGAATAGTTTTGCCGTCGAGCTTTTGGCTTTTTTTCTGCCGCATTCACTGGCACATCTTCAGTTGCTAAGCGATTTAGATTTGGGCACATATCTCACAGCTCTTGATGGGTTATTTGCTCTCCGTGAGAGATAAAAAAATAGGGTCTTAAACTTTTTCAGACACGTTTCTGAATCACAATCATTGTTAAGAATAGATAACTACTGTCTACCCCCTGGCGGCGTCCATTCATAAATTTAAACCCAATAAACCTATAACTTATCTGCGGGTTCTTCACCTAGAAGAAACGTCACCAACTCAATCGCGTCACTTGTCATCTTTGTATATATAATCGTAATTTATATCAACTGGTCAAACGACGATTCGACATGGAAATTCGAAAGAGATAAGGCTATCTACGAGTACCATACGCATTGCTTCCGAGTTCTTTAAATGGAGTAGAGTGTTGGCAGTAGACGAACGGCTTTCGAACGAGCAACAGCACCATGAGCTGTCAGAATTGCCTAGGTTTCTTGCTCTTGGCATTGGTGAGTGCACATAATAAATTCATAAAATGTCTTAATCATTATAATTGATAAGTCGAGGTATTACCCATAAGCCATTAATGGGGTTCACAATAAAAGAGGTATCATTATGCATTAAACAAATAAATACCAGGGCTACATCGCTATGTAGATCTGGTAGAAAATTTTAATGAAAATTTTTAACTTATAAATATTAATTTTAATAATATTTCAGATTACTCCCTCTTTGATCGAAGCCTATGGAGATCAAAGCCGCCATCGATTGTTTCTGCAGTCCGAGCAGGCCTTGAAAACTATTAGCAGCCAGCTAGTTCTACAGGCAATTGAGCTGGTGGACTATGTGGTGGAAGATCTCATCGTCTTGGACTCCCAAAACTCCATACTCCTCGGCTACTTAGATCGTTTCGATGCCTTTACAGCCGTCAATGCAAATCACACAGAGCAGAAGCTAAGTGCATTTTATGGCGTAGTTGAAGAATATCTCGATTCTGATACCACCGGGGATCCGATGAGGGCCAACAGTCTTGAGACCCAGTTGATAGCCCTCTGTCTGCATCGCAATGGATTCGATCGCTTTAAGCGAACTGTTCAGACCCGAACTGCCCAACTCCAAAAGTTGATATACAAAAAGCTGAAGAAGCACCTGGAGTCCATTGACAGAGAGGATCGTATTGCTGTGGAACGCAGGTGGAGAAGAATCCTAACGCGTGGCGGACCCCGGAGATTGGAGAAGCTGAGGGAGTTCGTCAAGTGGCTGGGAAAATTCAGAGATTAGCAAGCAATGAGCCCAGGTGAACGACTTGATGGTCTGAAAGATATGCCAGTTAGTGATAAGAAGAGCTATAAAACGTATAAATAGGTGTGTACGCTAAAATAAAATATTTATCATATAATTATAACCAATTATGACCTTGAGTTTTGCAAACGAACTATTTTTGTGGGTAAAACAGAATATACAGAATACTTTTTAATGAAAAACGGATAGCAAATGTAGGGATTGATTGATTCATTCTGATTGATTGTTGGTTCATTTTCTGTATAGGTCAATGAAATGTCTATAAGAACACACTTTAAGATTCATAAAAGTTAATGTAAACCTAATCAAATATATTTTAGTATATATATTCGCTGTTTTTAATGTTTGACAAGATGTAGTAGCGTAGATCTAATAAGAACAAAATAATAAGAAAAGCTGCAAGTATGTAGATAACTTTAAGATATACAAACGCCTTTTGAGAAGTAACTACATCGAAGCTATTATTCGTGTGCCCTCATAGTAGCCTCCCTCTGATAAATGCAATTTTCCATAACACGTTCCCCTCCACATCACTCAGATCATGTTTGAGAGCTTTGTTTAATGCACTTCACAGCTGGAGGAAACTTTTTTCCAGCCCCCGTGTCGACGGCAATGAAAACTTTGTCATGCCTCGCAAAAAGGATGATAAACTTGGGTAAAAATTATGGAACTGAATATGGAAGCGTTGGCGAAATTGAGACAGCAAAACAACAGACCCAAAAGACAGGCAGAAAAGACATACGAGACTCGGTGCCATGTGAGAACTAAAACTGAAACTAAAACTGATACTTTTTATGGATGGCAAGTGAAAAATGTAGACAGTTGGAGCACGACTTCTCCATGGATATGGTTATGGGTGTGGACGAAGGAGGTGAGCGGGGATTTTCAGGGATAAAAGAAAGATGGCAACTGCATTTCCTGTCTGAGAGCTGACAAAGTGCTGAGTGCATTTACGACTTGGACTTGGACGAGTGTTTTGTGTCTTTCCTGCAGCTGCAGGAGATGCCCGGAATTTATGCACTCAGTCCACAGAGGAAACTGTGCAAATTCCTGGCCAGGGGCATTTTCTGTGTGGCCCTGGGTATTTTCTTTGTGCCTTCTGATAATCGTCCCCAGCTGTGGCTAATCGGTTTACATTTGTCACACTGGCACTCCGGCCCAAGATTCTCAGTATCAGAATGAAATCCATTTGCTGCCCAAAGACCCTTGCAAAGAGAAGCTGGACGTTGTCCAGAAATTTGCTGAGTCTCTAACATGTTGCCTTAAATCTGTACTGTTATGGAAATAAAACTACCTTTACTGTCACAAATTAGATGTTTATTAATTAACCGATTTGGGATTTCCCCGTTGCGATTTCCCGTTCAACTAGTTAAGTCAAGGGCCTCTTGATGAGCCCCGATTCGACAGACTGAGACTGAACAATGACACAGAAGCTAAAAAATCACGATGAATCCATCAAACAAGATTAAGATTCCATTTCGCATTTACTTCAGAGGGCATGTGGCAGTTCCAAAGTCAATTTAAAGATTTTTGAATCCAATCAAAAATGCTGATTAAATGAGTTATTCATTACATACTACATATATTACTTAGATATGAGATTTATATAAAATATATATGCTTTATTAGCACAAATTTGGGTTACGTTGCGGACCTGGGGGAATCTTCAGCCTTAGTCAGGCCGCTCTTTCCCTGCCTCTTCGACAGCGAAAACATAGAAATTCCTTCATACAACCGAAGAGGACAAGCAAACCGAGGCATGTTATACATAATGCAACTATGATTACAATCACGACTAATATAAATAGCAGTCCCCACAGGCCCATGCTAACCTCCGGTGGTTCAGCAGTCGTTGTCAAAGGCAAACTTGTTCTGTTATCCAATAAGTCCTCACCATCGTCGAAGTCTATGTCCGTTATCGGCCCCGGCTCATCCATAATTGTAAGTTTTGATGATTCAGATAGCAAATTGAGACCTTTAAAACGAAAAGTATGGTAGATGAGAAAAATCACATTCAACCAAAGTTTCATAGCTTACTGCAGGTTTCAATTCATGTCGTCCAACGGCTCTTTGCATAGCAGCTAAAGGATTTGGATTGGTCCGTTGTTAGAAAATAAAATTCATCACTTTAAGATGTTTTTTTCGAAATTGTAAGAGGTCACTCACAGCCTACTGAAGTCAAAGGATTTATGATCACAGAGTGATAAAGTTCTAAATTTGCTGGGGCTCAGAGAGCATCCATGGTGAAAGTTACCTTAGGAGCGCTGCCATTCCTGGCTTTCTGTAATCTTCAATATATTTAGTGATATTTTGCAAACCAAATATCGTTTCTTCCATTCAAAAAATATATGTTCTCACCCTTCCCACTCATGAGATAAACTATATAACAGCAAACTCCGATTTTTATCTTCTTACATAAGCACTCACAATTTATTGTTAGTTGGATAAAAGATCTACGATGTACATGTACTATCTATGGGAATTAATTTGGATCGATTAATCATCGTCACCGCCCCCGCAGTCCCCGCAGCCTCCGCCGTCTTCCCCGCCACAGCAATCTTCGCCGCAACAATCATCACCGCAGCAGCCACCTTCGCCGTCCTCGCCGCAACATCCGTCGCCACAGGCGAAGCACGCAGAGCAAGCCAATCCGCAGCAGCCGCACAAGCAGAGAAGCGGCAAGCAGATAATGCACAGGCAGCACAGAAGCACCATGAACACGATCAGAAGTATGATCCCTAAACCCATGCCACCCGAAGACGAGCTGCTATCAGTGGTGGTTGTGGCCATGGTTGTAGTCAAAGAATCCGAGTCCCAACTTATCACCTGTACCGGGCCCAAAGATTCCGCATTTTCAGCCATTTTCACTTGCTTCGGAAAAAAAGACTGGTATAGATACTTTATTAGTGTTGAATGATTATTTTAAGAGAAATCAGAAATATGGACCTTGTGTCAAGGCCTCCCCCCTGCCCTAGAATATAGAACATATAAATCTTGAAAGCTTAATAAGTCTGTACCAGCTCTGACTTCTTCTTCGTATTTCTTTTCTAATCCTTAATCGTCTTAAATCGAATTTTAACATTTTAAGAAAAATGAGAAAACCATCATACTGATTTCTTCCTCGACTTAAAAAAGTTATCAGGCCCCTGGCCAGAAGTGCATTCTTCACTTTTCGTGAGGCTTGCCGCATTAAGTGACTTCTAACGATCTTCTGCATTGAAAAACCTCCGGACAAAAGTGCTCATTAAACCCACGCACACACCCTCTTCCATACAATGCCCATTCGAATTGTATAAAAATTAATGAAATGCATTAACGAAAGCGTTTCTGAGGGGTTGGGGTAAATGTGATAGGGTGGAAATGGGTTTGGAAAGACAGAGAGCGGGGTAGTCGAACGGGGATCTGGAGACCTGTCCCTGAGCTCCTGAGTGTACCTGCGCTCGTTAGCGCTCCATACACCCACTCTGGCAAGCCCCTCACCCTTGCTCATGGGCAAAAAATATACACTCTCGCCTCTCGTCATCATTATCATAATTTGAATGTGATGCGAGCGGAGAGCTTTAAAATATTCATGCGAGTAGAAATATATTTTTTCAAGTGTGCGCACGTGTGCGCTTGGGTTCGTTATACGGGTGTGTTTACTGTACCAAGAGGTCGTTGATTATAATGACTGTATTTTGCGTGCTGATTACTCCGCAGAGAAAATTAAGACAATGAGTCAACAACTAAACGCGTTAAGCAGAGGTTAAATCATATGTGTGGAGAGATGAGGAGATCTAAAAGGGATATGTCATACTCTATATAATGTAAGACTTAAGGGATATTATTGACCTGTAATTAATATATAAACATAAGAAAGTTGCTCACCAACAATCTTGCCTTTAGCCAGAAATGGTATCCTTGAGGTTCTTAGATCAAATGCTTCCAAAAAATGGAATCAATCAACTTTCCCTTTTCAATCACAAATCATTGATTGCAATTGGGAACTATTAGACACGTTTGTCAGCCAATTGGCGTCAGGCAGCATTGAAAGCTCATTCAATTCACTGCCTCACACGCACACAATCGCACTGTCACCCACACTCAGACATCCATTCACACATACCAACACACCCTCACACACATATAGGGACACCTTTAACTCCTAGCATCATGGCACACGTGGCTGCATGTCAAAGTGCAAAGTTTTGTGCCACAAAAAACAAGTTGCGATGGGTGGCAAATGGAGGTAATGGCAGTCAAAAGAGCCGCTTGTCGATGTTTTCAGAAAAAAAAGAGAGAAAAATATAAAATCGTTGGGGAAAACCAGAAAAAAGTTACGTTTTCCCCGGCGTTGTTGTTGGCAACCCTTTTAGCTCTGGCAATTTAAACTCGCCTGCTCCAAAGTTGCCCACTTGCCATATCCTGTCGTCTCCGTTGTCCTTGTTGTTGCTGCGGTTGGTTGCTGCATGTAGTTGCCGCATCCCTCAAACGGTTAAGGGGGCCTCAGAGGGTTAAGGGCCATCAGCCGAGGGGGGTAAATGCGTGGCAGGCAACGCGCGAATGCACAAAGTCAACTTGCACATTAGAATCCGACGAGGGATGAGATCGAGGAAAAGGAGGCACGGCAAACACGTTAAATTGGAAGGCAAAACAACCAGACTTATCCTTCGTTACTTTTCAGAAAAAGTAGGTGTCTCAATAAAACTGATATATCTACTGAACTTTCCACGGCCTATGACTTAGAAATCTTTATTTTTTCGGTTAAATTTTCAAAAGGATATTCATCCGAAAACTGTTAACCTATTTCCTGTAAAGAAGGGTAAAAGAACTAACCATCTATGGGAAACTAGGACTTCCTCTTTCAATTTCCTCTCCAAGGAAAGGAGGCGTCTGGAACGGTCAGATCTCCGTCCCCGAAGGCAATCATTCCCGAGCTGAATTTATGTTTATTCCCAACCAATCATCATCATCATCAGGAATAAACACAATGGCAATGATCGTGTTCGTACTTCGCCATCATCGCATTCATTGGCACTCAACGGAGGCAGCGAATTGCAATCGTAAACTTGATTGTAATAGTATAATTTTTGGCGAAAAAGCCAAACAAATAAACAAGACAAGGACCAGG